CCAACTGTCCCAATTTTCCTGGGACCGTGCTGGTCTTAGTGCTGTAAGTCCCACGTCCCAGGAAACTCCTCAGTACAGGAAAACTGTTCATCACCCTGGATTCAAACCTGGTCTGGCTCCAGCACCGTGTTCTGGAACACTGCATCCTGTTTTCTCTCGCACGAATGCACAGAATTTACAAATGTTGGCCACTGTGGGCCAATTTACAATTCTTGAAAGAATCCAATGCTCCATGGTGTCAGATTCCCTACTTGTTATAGAGATGTGCCTCAGTTTCCAGCCTTGTAAAATGGGAAAATAATAACACAGACCTCACGGGGTTGTTGTGAGGATTGAGTTCATAGTTGCAAAGCACTTAGAGCCATGCCTGGCACTGGAAAAGTGCTATAGAAATGTTTGTATTTATGATTGGTATTAAATACACATTCTCAAGACCCCCCAGAATTCCTTTTTTTTTATTTTGTTTCAGGCTATGTCAGAGTTATGTAGTGAGAGGGGGGAAAGTAGTAGAACAATGAGTTCAGTCTGTAACTGACTGTGAACAATCACGTGAGATAACTCACTACCTTCAGACCAGCTCTGAATCTCCTTTCTTGGGATTCAGGCATCTGTTATTATTGTTATTTTTATAATCGTTTTTTTTTTTTCTCACTCTGTTACTCAGATTGGAGTGCAGTGGCATGATCATAGCTCACTGCAGCCTCAAACTCCTTGCCTCAAGTGATCCTCCAGCCTCAGACTCCAGTGCTAGGACTACAGGTGAGAGACAACAGACATGTGCCACCGTGCCTGGCTACATTTTTTACTTTTAAAATATTGTAGAGACAGGGGTCCTGCTATGTTGCTCAGGCTGGTCGCGAACCGCTGGCCTCGAGCGATCTCCCTGCCTCAGTCTCCCAAAGGCAAGAGCCACTTCACTCAGCCTATTGTTATTTTTAATACCAGGTTTCCCAGGCAACCAGGTTTGGGAGTCAGGAGTCCTGGGGTCAAGTCCGAATTCTGCAAATAATGCACTGTGTGACCTTGAGCAAGTGCTTCACCTCTCTGTGCCTTACTTCCTCCTTGCAATGAGCCAGGGCTCTGCCCCTCTCACAGGGTTGATGTTTAGGGGTTTAGAGGTTTCGAGAGCCTCTCAGGAAGGGACAGCATTCGATATGAGGCAGGCGAGGAGGTAAAGCAGTGAGGAGGGGAGCCCCCTTCGGACTTAAGAAGGACTCGAGATGCAGGCTGGAGGGTGAGGCTACGGGAGAGTCAGGATGGACTTGGCCATGCCGAGTAACAAACAGCCCCGGTGCCTCGGTGGCTTTAGACAGGGCGGGCCTTCTCACTGTCGCTCCACGCACCTGTTGCCAAGCTGCCGTTCTGTTCTCTGCTCTGCGATGCTTCGCCAGCTGCTCCCTGGCTGGCTCTGCGAGGCTGCAGGCCACCCGGGAGGCTGCAGGCTGGAGGGAGGGGACAGGAGGACTGTCCATTCCTTCTGTTGTCTGTTCCGGTTAGTGTCACCCGGTGGCCATTGGTTCCAGTCTCCAGCTTGTTGACACGCTCTCTTGGAACCAGCCTCACGTGTCCCTCGGAGACAGCAGCACGAGCTAGGCCCCACCGCCACTCGGAGTCCGAGGCGCCTCCTCCAAGGCACCAGGGTCTGACACTCCGACCTTGACCCTTTGTTCCCCACCAGCCTGGGGACAGCGGCTGCTTCTTGCTGTCAGTGTCTCTGTGCAGTCTCATCACCACTCTTTGCTTTTTCAGTCGTCCACGTCTGTCGCAATGCTCTGTAATAAATTCTCTTTGTTAAAATGACTGATGTGGTTTCCACTTTCCTGCCAGAAGCTCGGACTGGTGCCCTCCGCGCCGGGAGCAGCGCCGCCCGGCTCCTCTCTGCCGCCCACGCGGGAGGCCGCTGCTCGCTGGGGGTTGGGGGGGAACATCTCGCCATCACACGTGCCGGCTCTTAAAGCATCTGCCAGAAGGGACATGGCTCTTCCGTCACGTTTCATTGGCCAGAGCAAGTCACGTGACCACTATGAGTCCAATAGGAAACAGGAAGTGAATATTTATGAGCATCTACTAGTTTGTCCTTGGGAAGACTCGGAAACTGTATTCTGCTTTCCTTCCTAACAGTCGACCCTAATGTGATTTTCCTGAATAATAATAACCAGCAAGCTGTGGAGCACTTACTAAGTGCTAGCCCAGCATCAATTTGCGGAGAGTGCACAAGGTACGTAGCTATTACCCCTAATTTCAGAAGAGACTGGGGCCCGGAGAGGGGCAGTGGCTTGGGTAAGGCTACACAGCAGTAAGAGGCAAAGCTAAGGTTTGCACCTGAGTCTGCCGGCTTTCAGAAGCCCAAATTCTCCGTCTCCACACTCTGTGAGGCGTCCTGCTCTGATTCCAGAAACCTGACAGTGAGGGAATAAGGAAAAGCGTGTATTTAAACTGGCTCGGCCCCTGTAACTGGCAACCCCACCTCACACTCGAGGTCGCAGGTGCCTTTGCGTCCATGGCTCAACAATCCAGAACACCGGAGCCTTTGCTAGTCTGGCCGTTCCCACTCTGGCCTTGGGACTGGGTTTGCACCTGTTGGCTTCCTCCGCCCCGTGCCACGCTCCACCTCAGCCTGGCTCAGCATTCTGCCCTTCCAGCTGTCTGGGTGGCGGAGGGAGATGCCCAGAGCCTGGGGTCCCATGAGTCTGGCCTCTCACAGGGCTCTGTCACCCCTCACCATACAGGAGACACTGCACTGTGCTTGTGGCAACAGCCACTTGCATCTTGTCCCAACATTAGCTCTTAGAGGTTGAACTGCATCTTTTCTATTCCCCCCTCCCCCAACAATATTAATGACAGCTGATGACCTCAGGCACCCCATGCTAGGCACCCATTTTAGTGTACCTGGGATTTATTTTGATCAGGTAGGTGAAAGGACGGCATTGCTAATAAACTATCTAATGGAGAAAAAAATAAACTCACAGAAAGAAAGAGGAATAAACTCACAGCTCATAATTGCCCCTTTGAAGAGAAAGATCACAGCACACAACAGCCCCTGTGTTTGATCAGCCACCTGTGGCTTAACCGGTTGTCTTTAAGATTAACCACCTGTGGCTTCTAAGAGTTTGTTTTCTTTCTCACCACAGGGCATTTCTCCCTTGCATATCTTTCTCCTTGGGCTCTGATCACCATATACCCTTATAACTTCCTGCCCCCTCCACAGAAAGCCAAAGTATCTCTCCTCCATAATAATGACAATGGTACTACTAATAATAGCAATGGTAACATCTTTTGAAGATTTACTCTGTGCCAGGCACTGTTGGAAGTACCTTTCATACAATAACTCATTTAAAATTCTTACCACAACCCTATAGGGTAGATACTCACACTATCTCCATTTTACAGATGAGGCAACTGAGACGTGGATAGGATAAGTCTTCACTCCCTGCTCTCCTGGAGCACTCCAAAAATCAAAATCCTACTTAACGAATTATGCTGATAAATTTAACTCTTTTCTTTGTCTCATCCTGCTAGACCAGCCCAGAGAGAATGAAGGGAGAAGGGCCCACCTCCAAAACTAAAAAGTCCCATCCAGATGGTTTCCTAAATAACAGCAGTTTTCACCCTAAGAGAGATTCTTCCATATTTCTCACAGACAACATTAAAAATGATCATCTCTTCCTCACTTTGTTTTAAAAAATGCATGCCAAGTTGTTTCTCTTGATATATAAGAAGAGATTTTTCCAGCCCTCCACGAGCATAGCTCTGGGCCAGATCTTAGTCACATGACCAGCCATTGCTGCAAAGGAGCCTGGGAGATATAGTTTTTAAAGTTGGGCAGGTGCCATCCACAGTGAAAGTAAGAAAAGGAAAGAGGGAAGGAGTGAGTGGCTATTGGAGAGGCAAACAGCAGAATCTGTCACGCTGAAGCTTGTTTCCCCTTGAAGAGGAGGCCAGGCAGGCCCGATCTCTGCTCAGAGCAGCGGAGTGCACGGCGGGTACGTATACTGCTTGGGGCACCAGGTCTCTGCTGCCACCTCCAGATGGGCAGCCATTTGTTCCCCAGTCCCTCACAGGGTAAAGAAATGGCACACGGAGTCTTCTCTTTCCCTCTCTCCCTCTCTCCCCAGCTCTGTGAGCTCTACCTGGTCATAGTCTCAGCCAGGAAGGTGGGACGATGACAAGAAGAGGAAGATGGCACACACAGGGAGGGGGAGGACCTGGTTATTTACTTTTTCAGAAAGACGGAAGTTTCTGGCACAGCTCCTGGAGCTCAATCGAAATGAATGCTGGCTCCGCTCCCAGGCTGGTGCCCGCCGTCCTCCTGAGGGCACAGCCTCTGCAGCACTGAACCCAAGAAGGTCACTTGCTTGTCACACAGGAAGGTGGGGGAGGGACTGTGACGGTCGGAGCCTCAGAAGAAAACTGAATCCAACTCAGATGGATCAAGAGACTCCTAGGAAGGGCCTTCTTCCCGCGTGCTCGCAGGGTGAAGGGGACAGGGAAAGGAGGGCAGGGGACTGAGGTTAGCAATGGAGGCGCGTGTGATCGAGCCCAGCGAGGGCTGGGGAGGGGGGTCATTCAGACAGAGGCTGCAGCTGCGGACGACATAGCTACTGCCAGGGACATGATGCCAAAGCAAGGAAGGACTTTAAAAGAAATGTCCCCGCTCTCTCTCACCCTGCCTTCTGGTCTCCTGCTGGCCCCTTCTGTAAGTCAAACCCAACCAGAAGGAGCCCACAGGTGATGGGGACCATGCTCTCCACTTCTGGGGACACAGGGCAGGCAGAGAAGGGCAGAGAATGAATTGGAGGGAAGTGGACTGCAGAAAACAATACACACGTGCTATGGGTACTCTCACTACATGTGGTTATTTTTACAATGATTTTTTCAATACTCCAGAATGTCTCATTAATAGATATGTCACAGTTTGCTTTAAAAATCCTCCTCCTTGGACAAGGCCACATAGCTCAAAAAAAAAATAAAAAAAAAAATAAAAATCCTCCTCTTATTCATCTTTTTAGAAAACGTTTTTTATTGAAGTACAATACACATGTATAAAGGGTCCGTATCAAAGGTGTATGTATATCTTGATGAATTTTCACAAATGAACTTAACCAGATCAAGAAACAGAATATTCTCAGCACCCTGGAAACTTCCTGATTTCCCTTCTAGTTATTCCTTCTCCAACCCCCTCTACCAGATAACCTGTATGCTGACTTCCAAGAGCGTGAGTTTCCCTCAATTTTGTACTTTACACAATGTCATCTGTTAGTACAGGCTCTCTTGGGACTGGCTTTCTCCTTATTTACTTATTGCCACTGGCCCTATAAAAACAGTGTTACGATAGGCATCTCTGTGCATCAGGATTTTGGGTTTTTTTGCCTTTGACTTATTTTCTTAGGACGAACCCCCACATTTAGGTTTCCCGGGTTGAACAGTGTAAACATTCTTACAGCTTTAGCTGTATGAGGCCAAAATGCTTTCTTTAGGATGTACACACCCTCACCACTTCTTGTCTCCATCTGTCACTCAGATTGTAACGGTGACTCTAGCTTTCACTGGCCAACAGGGGTGCAGTTCTGGACGGCCGTGGGGAGGAATCTAGAACTCTGAATGCCGACGGTGCCACCTCTGTCCGTCCCGGATGGTTCTCGGTTGCAAACCACAGCACCCTCACCACTGGGGCAAGCAGTCGTGCAGTGCACGGGAGGTGGCCGGGCAGTGCACGGGTTATCGTGGCGGGCTTGGAGGCGCTGCGGCAGCGACAGAACTTCAGCTGCCATCCCATGGGGCCCAGTGACTGACTTCGGCTCACACTGCAGACACTGAGCACTGGACGTTCAGCTGGCATCTCCGTCCCACCGTCCCCCAGTGGGTCTCCTCTCATGTCTCATGGGCCGCCCCAAGATCGCAGGTAGACCCTGTGAGGTCTTGGGATCTAAGAGATTCCGAGTTCTCCACTGAAGCCTGGAATAAAAAATCAGGATTTTATTAGCAAGGGAGATGCAGGGGAAAGGCTTTGTGTGGGGGCCACCTTTGTGGCCACGGCAGCGTGTCGTCCGGTGGAAAACGGCTACCCCGGCTGTGACTTCACACGATCTCTTGGTTCCAGCACCCAATGCCCCATTAACCTATTGCTCAGCACTTTGTTTCTCGGGGAAGTTTGTGTCCAAATTCCATTTCTTGGGAAAGAAGCTCTGATTGGTCTGACCTGGGGTGGGGTGTTCTCTTATCATCAAACCAGTCACCGTGGCAGGGGTGGGGTGGGGGGTGGTGGTGGTGCTTAGGGGACATCACATGCCACAAGCACGGAGATTAGGCCACTCAGCCAGGCTGAGGAAGATAGAAGGGGCTGGCGTGGCCTCCTTGGCTGAGCAAAGACAGTTTGCAACCTAAAAGACAAACTAAGCCAGTGCTGATGGCACCAGTGAAGTAGGAACACCTAAACTTTTTTTTTAACAAAATGATTTGTTATGTCATTATAAAGACATGACAGCAGAAGTCAGGATCCAGTCACACGGCCTGACATTTATCTTATGGATTAGCACTGGTTTTATTTTCAGTGTCATAGATGGGGTGAAACTTTTCACAGTCTTTGCAGGCTGTGAAGTTCTCAATTTGGTCCTGGAAGTAGCAAGAAATCGAGGCTCAGAGAGGTCCACTGACTTTTCTAAGGGCACACGGCAAATTAGTGGCAGATCCAGGACTCTAGTGTTCTCTCCACTACACTACTGTGCCCTCCCTGCCTGTGCCCCCTTTTCTGGGGATTATTTTCACAGTCCCTGTGAAGGGGCTATTGTGCCACTTGCCTGTGGCCCCCGGGTCCCATGTGATCAGGCCAGGACATCACATCTAAGCTGGGACAGTTGCATTCTTTTTCCTGAGAAGTTGAGATTAGGACATTGATTTTTTTTTAAAAAAACTGGGCTCTTAAAGGGGAACACCTAAGAAGCAAGCCGGGGGAATGAGGCAGAGCAGAGCAAAGAGGCCAGGTTGAGAGACCAGGGGGTTCCAGACAGAGCTTGAGAGAGGAGCTGCCTTGGCTTCTGAGAGCTTTCTAGTTCTTGCTTTTTCTTCATGGACATCTGCCTCCAGCTTACACAAGACAACCCTGGTATTCATGTAACTCAGTACACACTTTTGGCTGAAAGAAGCAAAAACTGCAATTAGGACCAGCTTAAACAATTAAAAAATACTTATTAATTCACATATGAGGAAGTACAGAACTAAGGTGGGTTTCAGGCATGATACAATCAGGGTGCCAGCTACACTGTTGTGTAATTCCCTCTAGGCTCTTGCCTCCATCACGTATTAGCCTTGATCTCACACTGGTTTCCCTCATGGTTACAAGAAGGCTGCCAACAACATGCTTCCTTGTTCATATCCCTGGAGGTGAAAAGCATCTCCCTGCAACTCCGGATTATATATCCTTCCTTTCTGTCTGATTAGGCCCCTGTCAGTTACATGCCTATTTCTGGAACAGTTGCAATCTCCAGGAGACGGCTCTGCATTCATTGGCTTAAACTTAGATTCGGTGCAATCATTGGCAAGGAGCATGGGATGGCAGTGATTGGCTAAGACTGACAGAGATCTACCTGGGAGGTGTGTGTCACGTGGGCTGAGTGTGGGAAGGAGGATTACCTGAACAAGCTGGGATCTGCTGGGAAGGAGGAAGGGTGAACAGATGCTGGGACGCAGAAAAAATAATCATTTTGAGTTGGTTGGAGTGGGTTTCTGATCCTTGTAGCCAAAGAGTCACTTGGACAGTCAGCTTCCTGGCCTGTGTCCAAATGCCTTTGCCCAGCCCCTCTGAGCTTGGCTCTAATTTCCTCCCGCATTCGGTAGACACTGCTGTCACCAGTGTTCCTCACTGCTGGCTCATCGCCTTGGCAAGCTGGCATCTCACCCCACTCCAAGCCCCGCTGATGGAGCAGAAGATCCCGTTAGCAGAATTGATTCTGGCATGTTCTAATTAAAAAAAGCCTTGTATGTCTCTGCATGGGGGCTGCTGAGATCTGCACCCAGAAAGGCAGAGAGAGTAAATTCTTCTGAGGAAGGCCTATTTTTAACAAGTCCTGAACCTAATTGAATTTAATCATTTTTCAGTCGTTGACACTTGAAATGTGTGAGTCACTGGGTTGTGCACAGAGCTGAGGACTGGAGCAGTCCTTTAAATGTCAGGGAGAAGGGAGGGACACCAGCCTGCAGAGAGCTGCTCGGGTCTGGGGCTGTGGTTCCTCTCGGGCTTGGGCTAAGGCACAGGGCTCTAGAGACAGCCCGCCCCAGGTTCAAGTCCTGGCTGCCCTGCTTACTGCAAAATGCTGTTTCTCCAAGCCCCTGTTTCTTCCTCTGTAAAATGAGGATGGTAATATATGTAGATCCAAAAAACTGCGTATAAGTCCTTTGGAGACAAGGCTTGACATGAGGCTGTTCAGCATCTATATTTATCTCACTTGGCATTTCCTTGCAGAAACATTAACATGTTAATTTTTACATGTTGTCTAAACCCTATACGTGATGTCCTGTGACACTAACTTTCCTCATGGTTACAACGTGGCTGCCAGAAACGTGTGGGGCAACATACTCCCTTGTGTACTATGTTACCTTTCTGAAACCAAAAATATGGTTATGTTCTAAAACACTTCTTGTCCCAGAGTTTAGGCATAAGAGGGTGGAGACCTTAGCAGGGCTGAGCTACAGTTCACTCAGGGAGTTAAGGAGGAAAGTGGAAATAACCTGGAATTGAAGTCACTCCAGAAAACTAGTACCCCGTGGCTGGTTGCTATAGCTCAGCCTGTAATCCTAGCACTCTGGCAGGCCAAGGCAGGAGGAACGCTTGAGCTCGGGAGTTCAAGACCAGCCTGAGCAAGAGCAAGACCCCATCTCTACTAAAAATAGAAAAATTAGCCAGGCATGAGGACACAGCTCTGTAGTACCAGCTGCTGGAGAGGCTGAGGCAGGAGGATGACTTGAGCCCAGGAGTTTGAGGTTGCAGTGAGCTATCACGGCGCCACTGCACTCTACCCAGGGTGACAGAGTGAGACCCTGTCTCAAATAAATAAATGAAAAAAATAAATAAAATTTAAAAAGAAAAATTTAGTACTCCAATAATTTCTCCCCAGCTCTGTAGACTGTTCCTTGAGTTTTGCCCCAGAGGAAGCAGGTGACTTATGTTTCAAGGCCTTCTGTATAAAAAATGTGTGTCTTTAAACTACCAGACTCTTGTTAGGGCAGCAAAACGCTCACGGTGGTCACACTTGACGGGCATCAGACTGGGGTTCCGATCTCACGCTCACGGGGCCGGGGTGTGGGGTCCTGAACCCCACTCCCCAGCACTGATATAAGTGATTTCTCTCCTTTCTTTTTTTTTGCAGAGCAGGCAGAATTGGGTCCCTTGCATTAGCTGTGCGCAGTGTGTCCCCTGCCGGGCCGTGAGCTCAGCGCGGGGCGCGAGTGGCCGAGGGAGGGACTGGGGCGCTGCTCGAGTCCAGACGTCACTCAGCGACGGGAGGGTCCGGGGCTAGTCTGGTAACGGGTCTGGGGGAGCGTGTCGCCCTGTCCCCCTCTCCGGCTCCCGACAGCGTCCTTCTTCGCACCAGCTGCGACAACTGTCCCCTCCTCCTCCCGAGGGCCCGGCGCCCTTCCCGCGCCTTCCAGGGCGGAACGCCCGGCCCGTGCGGGTCACAAAGGCTCCGTTCCAGGGTCCCGAAGGCCGGGTGGGGCAGCGGGGGCTCGAGCAGTCCTCCCAGCGCCGCGGGACACGCGCCGTCGGGCGGGCCGCCCCCTCGGTGAGTGTCGCCGCGCGGCTGCCCCGGCTCCCCGCCCCCACCCCGCGAGGCACAGGGAGGTCGCGGCCCGCACGGGCCGGGCTCAGCGGCCCAAGCCTGGAAAACATCACGGCCCCCTAGGGTTAAACATGAATAAACCACCGCGTGTAAAATAGCTCCAAAACGGTCCAACAAATTTCTATTTTCCTCCCATAACAATCCTTTAAAAAAAAAAAATCAACAAACCTGCATATGTGTTCCCGTGCTCCTGCTTGGCTGGTGCCCTAGACACAGGTTCCATTCTGTCGCCAGGTTGTACAGCCGGGCTCAGCGAGACCCACATGGCTGCCTGTCCCAAGTTCCCCGCAGAGCCCGGCCCAGGCAGGCTGATCGACCATTAGACCATAAACACGACCTCTGCCGGGAGGAAGCTTCATTCGCTCAAACTGCATTTGCCAGGACAAACTGACACTTGAAAATACTGATTTACAAACAAGCGACATTCGTCCAGCGCCTGTCACGTGCTGGGCACCCTGCTAAGTGCTTTATGCTCAATATTTTATGCTGAGACATGGGTGTGGGTATCCCCATTCTACAGATGAGGAAACTGAGGCTCAGAGAAGTAAAATCACACTGTCAGTGAAGGTCGGGTATACCCACGTCATGCTTTTAAAATGGTGCATTACAGGGCCGGTGTGGTGGCTCACTCCTGTAATCTTAGCACTCTGGGAGGCCGGGGCAGGCGGATCGCTCAAGGTCAGGAGTTTGAAACCAGCCTAAGCAAGAGTGAGATCCTGTCTGTAATATAAATAGAAAGAAATTAATTGGCCAACTAAAAATATATAGAAAAAATTAGCCACAGCATGGTGGCGCATGCCTGTAGTCCCAGCTACTCGGGAGGCTGAGGCAGGAGGATTGCTTGAGCCCAGGAGTTTGAGGTTGCTGTGAGCTAGGCTGATGCCCTGGCATTCTAGCCTGGGCAACAGAGTGAGACTCTGTCTCAAAATAGATAAAATAAAATAAATAAAATGTTGTATTACAGATCCACTTAGAACCAAAAGGGCCCTGGAAAATAGAATGGCTCAATAAAAATAGTTGGAGCTGCACACAATTGCAGAGTTGAAAGAGGTCCCAGAGTGAGTACACTTTGCCCAAACCTTGTCAGTCAGGTAAACCCTCCTATGGCTTCTACACACACCTTGAAGGCTCTCCAGAAATGATCAAGATATAGCACCATTGTCTTGCACCATTTCCCTGCCTGTAGGAATATTCCCTCAGATGAAGATTTACCAAAATTCAATTGGCCCCTAAACCCTATAGAGTATAACATGGAAAAAGCCAAACCTTCACACATTGCCAGATACTATTGTCATATCACTCATCAACTTGCGAATCATTCTCAAGGTAGTGAATTATGTAAGTTAGAAATGCTTTAGGCTATAATGAACAAAATGCTTTATGAGTGCCTTAGACAATAGCGGCACTTGTTATTTCACTTAACAAGGAGCCTGGAGGTAGGCAGTTTCAGGGATGGGGCAGTAGCTCACAGTGTCAATTAGGAACTAAATTTTTCCCATTTTTCCTCTTTGCTGTCCTCAGTGTGACAGTGATATTTCTCCTCATGGTCATGGGATGGTTGCCATGGCACCAACCATTATGCATGCCTCCATAATAATTTCTAAGAGCAGGAAGGGAGGGGAACATGGACCAGCTCTCACTTTTTGTCATTAGGTCATTTGTCCCAATAGAATTCTCCTTATGTCTCATTGGTCAAATATGGGGGTCACATGCCCATCCTTAGACCAATCATTGACAAAGGGCAGTGGGGTTACCATGACTAGTGGGAACCAATCATGTCATGCTCCGGAGCTGGGCACACTGAGAGAGACACAATCAGAATTGTGTTAGGAAGAAAGAGGTCGGGGTTACAGTCATGCTAGCTGCCGGAACACATACATCTGCCCGCTTCACTGGCTTAATCCAAGTTAATGTCTCATTTATGTCACAGCCCAATGAGGATGTTCATGGTTGGCAGGTAACTGCTTCTGCAAGTTGATTTGGGGAACTGTTTTGTGACTCTGCCCTCCATAAATGTCAGATGGGGAGGAGAGGATGGAAAAGTCACATCTCTTTCTTAAAAGTCAGGATCCCATGTGGCCAGATGCTCTGAGTTTTCAGTAGAACTTATGGATTTCTATGTGAAATGTTCCAGTTTTAAAAGGTGGTCATGAGGCCGGGTGCGGTGGCTCACGCCTGTAATCCTAGCACTCTGGGAGGCTGAGGCTGGCAGATAGCTCAGGTCAGGAGTTCAAAACCAGCCTGAGTAAGAGCGAGACCCTGTCTCTACTATAAATAGAAAGAAATTAATTGGCCAACTAATATATATAGAAAAAATTAGCCTGGCATGGTGGTGCATGCCTGTAGTCCCAGCCACTTGGGAGGGTGAGGCAGGAGGATTGCTTGAGCCCAGGAGTTTGAGGTTGCTGTGAGCTAGGCTGACGCCATGGCACTCACTCTAGCCTGGGCAACAAAATGAGACTCTGTCTCAAAAAAAAAGTCAGGGTTTGGAAGTGACACATTTCCCCTCTGCTCACATCCCATTGGTGACAGTCCATCACAGGACCCTGCCTAGGTGCAAGAGGAGCTGGGAAGTGTGACCCCTGGCCAGTTAGTGACCTCAAGCAACTCCACACGAAGAGGAAGTGGCCACTGGGGAGGCAATGAATCAGTTTCTTCTCAGCTGATCTTATCACATCCTTGCTTTTAAGGGACATCCAGTCTTTTCCAGACCTCTTCGCTAGTCACTTCCCTCCAGATGCTGCCACCTATTCTAGACCACGAATCATTCTCTGAACACTCCTTTTATTCACTTGCTCCTCAGCCTTTGCTCAGGCAGTTCTCTTAGCTCAGAATTCCCTCCCAACTTTTCTTCTCTGCCTGTAAACTCCTATTCATCCTTCAAAACCCCAAGTGAAAAGTCATCTCCTTTGTGGAGCCTTTTCCACTGTTTCACCCTGGGCAGGCTTCATAGCACCTTGAAGGCTGACTCACCACTGAATTCCCTACAACTGTTAGCTTTCTTCTCAGGCTACCTGCAAAGGCAAGGTGGCTGTCAGCCACTCCCGACCTCACTCACCTAGGCTCAAGTGCAGCAGGAAACAAAGTCTCTCTCTTCCTGAGTGTTGAAGCTTCAGTTCCCACTGTGCACTCTGCCTGGACTAGCTAGGGCCGCGTGCCCATCCCTGAACTCATTCCAGGTCAGGGAGCTGGCACTCTGATTGGCCCATCCAGAGTCATATGCCCCAATCCTGAAGCTAGTGGGGTGTGGCCAGCCCCTGGGGAGCAAAAAATGACCAGGAGGGAGGACGGGAGGGCCTGGCTTCCCGCAGGAAACTCAGGGTATCGGCACCAGGAGACAGAGCGTGCTGAACACCCCTCAAACCCTTGTAAACATTGACCGCACTGGATCTCTGCCGTGTTAGACCACCTGTATCGTACCCTAGAAGTGGCTTCTAGAATGTCTCCCATTTTCTAGATGAGGAAACTGAGGCTCAGAGAACCGAAGTGACTTGCCCAAGGTTAGTAAGCAGCCGTGGAGGGATGCAAGCGAGGTCTGATGGGGGACACAACCAGTGCCCTAAACCCCTGCGCCGCAGGGCCACTCGGGGGTTGCAAAGCTGGAACTTCTGCTTTTGGAACCCGGCCCCTGCCGACTGAGAGGGGCAGTGTGGTGGGTCTCATGGCCCTATCGCGCTTGTGGGGTTAATGTTGTCCCTTCCTCTGAGTACCCACGAGCCAGATGACGTTCGAATTGTGACGTGATAAAAATGCCTCTTGGGACCTCCGCCCTGCTGTGGGCCGGCAGGGCCGGGGCCTCCCACAGCTGCAGCTGGGTGCGTTTGGCTTTAACCCCGTCTGGGGACAGAACGCCCTGATGCCATTTTGCCCCCTCTTTGGGAACACAGGGAGCAGAAGGGCAACTGACACGCCGAGACCATCTGCCCAGCTCCTAATAATAAGTGGTGAGAGGAACAGGTTCCAGGCGAACATTGCTTTAAACAACAACAAAAAAAGTGCCTCTTCTCACACCCGGGCAGCCATCTGCGTGTCCTCCCCGTGTGCCAAGCTGTGGGCGGAGGAGGGAATTGGGGACTGGGGGGAGGGGAGGAGGTGCCCGTTCGGTCCCGCACTGCCAGCCGGGGTGGCTCACGACGTCTTTTCCCTTTGCCACCGTGGACAGGGCATTGCAGAGAGAGAGAGGCACGCGCGTGGCTGTGACCCTCCTGGGGACAGTGTCTGAGCAGAAGGGAAGCGCGATTCCTTCAAGATGCCGATGGTAGGTGACACACACATTCGCTCCTCTAACCCTGACAACAAATCTACGCACACCCATTTCAGAGATGGGAGGCTGGAGGCTCAGAGACCTCCAGTGACTCGCCCGAGGTCACACAAGGTGGCAGAACCAGAATGTGAACCCAGAACGCCTCCTCCCCACACAGCAAAGCTGCCTCCTCAGGATGCAATAATGAGGCCAGCCTCCTCTCCCCAGCGACCCAGGGTGGTTTCCGTGTGACAGGCAGGCAGCTGACATCACCCAGGGGTCTCCCAGCCCCAGCCCCGGCCCTGCCCCACCCCAGCCCTTGACCTGCGCCCGCCCGGGGCTTCTCTAGCCGCCGACTCACTGCTGCCTCCCTCCCGGCCCTGTAGCACCAGTCGAGGAAGCACCGGAGAAAATCCTCTGCTCCCCAGGAACTTCCGGAGAGGGTCAGGGAGCAGCAGGCCGAGGCAGAGCTCCGCAAGCTGAGGCAGCAGTTCCGGAAGATGGTGGAGAGCCGCAAGTCCTTCAACTTCCGCAGCCAGCAGATGATCATGAGCCAGTAGTAAGCGAGCGGCGCGGCCCGCACCCAGCGGCCCTGGCGGGGTTTGGGCTGGCCTTTCCCGGTGCTTGTCTACCCCCTGTGCCAGGCAGCCACCTCTGAACCCAGGGTGGGGACTCATGTTCCCAGCCGCAAGAGAGACCAGTGGCGAGGGGGAACTGAGGGAGGGTGTCTTGGGGACCCAGGAGAACAGGACGCCCACATCTCAGGGAAGGACCTATGCAGGAAGCATTTCTGATTCCTGTTTCTCTCTGCACATGAGTTGTGTTCTTTTTTTTTTTTTTTTTTTTTTGAGACAGTCTCACTCCGTTGCCCGGGGTAGAGTGCCCTGGCGTCAGCCTAGCTCACAGCAACCTCAAACTCCTGGGCTCAGGCAATCCTCCTGCCTCAGCCTCCCGAGTAGCTGGGACTACAGGCGTCCGCCACCGTGCCTGACTAATTTTTTCCTATATATATTTAGTTATCCAGCTAATTTCTTTCTATTTTTTTCTTCTTTTTTTTTTAGTAGAGACAGGGTCTTGCTCTTGCTCAGGCTGGTCTCGAACTCCTGAGCTGAAACGATCCTCCCACCTTGGCCTCCCAGAGTGCTGAGATTATAGGCTCACGCCACCACGCCTGGCCAAGTTTTGTTCTTTTCTCTCTGAATTTCAGCCCTGGCTTGAGGGAAATGGCTGCCCCAACTCTTGAGCTTACCAAGCTATGCAGGGAGGCTGTCTTAAAATCAATTCCAATTCCCAGTGCCCGGGAGAGGGAGAATCTGGTTGACTCAGTTTGGGTCAGGTGTCTATTCCTGGGGCAGTCAGCTTGGGGGTGGGCAGAGGACAGGTGGCTTTGGCTGTCACTCCCGAGGTCCTGCCACGGAAGTGGGAGAGCTCCCAGAGAATGCCAGAATCATGTGGCTGCCTACACCCCAAGGACATTTCCTGTTGGCGTGTCCTTAGAGCACTGCAAGATAGAATATTTAACATTGGGTTGCCCTAGAAATTCTGGAGCACACTATTTATTTGGGCAATAGAAAGGTGTTCCCTGGGGTTGAATAAACAAACGTTAAACAAGCATTCTTAGATTCCAGGGAAATGTAATTCCCCAGCCACATCCACTTTGTTTATAAGAGCAGGAACAACTGTCGGTTATTAGAAAGAAAATCTGACTGTTCGATGATGTGGGGAATTCAGAGGATGGAGAAAAGGAATTCTTTAGATTTTCCATAGATTCAGTTTACTCAGGGCCAGGACTAGTTCCTATGGGACCTCTATGTGATTTTTTTAAAAGGCACCCTTTTCTCAAGACACTTTACTGCCATCTGTTGGAAAAATTGTCATTATGTAGGGATTTTGCTAGAAGGAGAAAAAGTGTCCCCTAGAAAAGAGTAATAAATCAACAAATCAAGGGTGAGTTTTCAAGTAATGGCACTTCCTAGGGCTGTGCAGTCTACAACCTGCACATCTGTGCCCGGCCATCCTGATTCTCAGCCTACCTCTGGTAGGCATCAGGAAATGCCTCATTCTTGTGTCTCTGACAGTTTTTTTTTAATCTTACCCTTCCGCACCCCCACACCACCCGACACTCAGGTTCTGGCTCCAAGTCAGTCTCTTTGATCTAATTTCACTTTGATGGAACTGAAAAGGAGGGAGTGGAAAAGTGGAGATTTTAGGTTCTTTAGAGTGAAACACCTATTAAATAGAAATAGGCCCAGAACTGAGGTGCGGTGCCTAGGGTGTAATATTTAAGGAGGTGCTTTTCCCCCAGCGCTGACCCTGTGCTTAAAGCACCCTGACAGTGAGCGCCTCCTTAAATTTGGGGGCTTCTTGCTCCCTTCATCCCAGCCCCAGCCCTGCATACAAGACACACAAACCTCACCGACCCTTTCTGAAAGCCCAGCTCTGGTAGAGGGTGGCATTGTCTCTCGATTTCTTCTTTCCACTTTAACAAGGACCCCCTTCCAGGAGGGGCTTAAGAGGGGACAAAAGTCCCAGCAGGCAAGTTGAGAAGACTGGGTGCTCCTGGTCACTAGCCGCATGTGGCTATTTACATTTATAATTAATTAAAATAAATAAAATAAAAAATTCAGTTCTTCACTTGTACTAGCTGCATGTCAAGTGCTCAGTGGTCACGTGCCTAAGTGGATGCTGGCAGACCCTGCAGACAGAGGACATTTCCATCCCAGAGAAAGTCAGCAAACTATGGCCCACGGGCCCAATCTGGCTGGCTGCCTGTTTTTGTAAATAAAGTTTTTTTTGTTTTGTTTTGTTTTTTTGAGATAGAGTCTCACTCTGTTGCCTGGGCTAGAGTGCTGTGGCGTCAGCCTAGCTCACAGCAACCTCCAACTCCTGGGCTCAAGTGATCCTCCTGCCTCAGCCTCCTGAGTAGCTGGGACTACAGCATGGCCACGCATGCGCCGCACCTTTTTCTATATCTAGTTGGCCAATTAATTTCTTTCTATTATAGTAAGACGGGATCTCATCTTGCTCAGGCTGTTTCGAACTCCTGACCTGAGCAATCCTGCCGCCTCGGCCTCCCAGAGTGCTAGGATTACAGGCGTGAGCCACTGACCTGGCCTGTAAATAAAGTTTTATTGGCACACAGCCATACCTATTCACTCATACATTGGCTGTGGCTACTTTCCCATTGCAAGGCAGAGTAGTTATAATAGAGACCGAATGGCCTACAAAACCTACAATATTTACTATTTGGCCCTTTATAGAACAAGGTTTGCCAATCCCCACTCTAGAACATTCTTTTTTTTTTGAGACAGCAGTCTCAGCTTTGTTGTCCGGCTAGAGTAGTGCCGTGGAATCAGCCTAGCTCACAGCAACTCATCTCCTTGGCTCAACGCCATGCCTCCTGCTTCAGCCTCCCGAGTAGCTGGACTACAGCATGCCACATACCAGCTCATTATTTCCCAGCTTCATTTTTTACTATATACCATTGGCCAATTAATTTCTTTCTATTTATGGTAGAGACGGGGTCTCGCTCTTGCTCAGGCTGGTTTTGAACTCCTGACCTTGAGCAATCCACCCACCTCGGCCTCCCAGAATGCTAGGATTACAGGCGTGAGCCACCACGCCCGGCCCTAGAACATTCTTTACTGTTCTAGAGCAGTGATTCCAAAACTTGAATGTGCACATGCAGCACTTGAGGCTCTTGTTGCAGAGCAGATTCTGACCCAGTCACTCCCCAGGCTGGGGCCTGAGATTCTGCATTTCTCCAAGCTTGCAAAGCACATTGAGGCAGCTGGTCTGCAAACCGCACTGAGCAGCGAGTGTCGGCTCCCAGAATTTTCCAGAAACTCAGCTCTGTGCCATTTCCCATCATTCAGTTGTTGTCATTCAGTCTTCCAAGCTGCCTTTTCTCTTTCGAAGTCCCCCTGTTTTCCCACGTCCCCCACCCTGTCTCTTCTCCAAAGCAGACAGAGGAAGGGGGAGGAGGAGGCTCAGATCAGCCCACTTAATAAATCGTTAGCACCCCAAGTAGAGAAACCAGCGCATCTGTGTTGATGCAAACTTGAAAATCCTGCCTGATGGGTTTGCTCCTCATTAACCAGAGATAATTGGCTGTGGAGCCTGGGAAGATGGTCTGCAAACTCAGACAGATGCCAGCCAGCCGCTGGCAAAAGCGAACTTGAGGGCTTCCGCCATGTCTAGGTAATGGATTTTGACAAGGACAGCTGCAAACTGATCCCTAGGAAAAAAAAATATCCCGAGGAGCAGTGGAATTTGCATCGAACTGGGTCTTAGGTGATCAGGGTTCCAGACCTGGATCTGAGGCTGTGGGCGAACACTTTTCTGCTGCTTGGGCGGGAGGTGCCCCTGTCTCTGCCAGTCTGCTACGGTGCCTGGCATGTGGGAGCGAGGTAAGCGCAGGGGTGCAGGCTGAATCGTGGGCTGCTTTCCCAACAGCAAGGAAATCAAGACGCTGAAGGCAGAGCAGGATGAGATCAGCCTGCTTTTGAGTCTCACGAAGTCCTCAAAGAACACAGATCTGAACCAGAAAAACTACATGGAGCTGCGCTTCCTGCTGCAAACCAAGGAGGACTACGAGGCCTTGATTAAGTCCATGAAAATGCTGTTGGCAGAGCTGGATGAGAAGGTGTGGTCTTTCTCGTAAAAGGTTAACCAGAACATAGAGCACCTGGAGGAGTGGGAGGTACCCATGATGCCTCAGGCCAGACCTGACACCCCAGCATCCTTGACTTCTTGGGAGAGCCCTCTAAATGCCACTGTGGCTACTGTCTCCGCTACCCTTGTGACCTCTGGGCTCCCAGCATCTAGGCTCCGCCCTATTAATGTGTCCCTCCTCCAAGCTCCCCCTGCTCTCAGGACAAACCCCACATCCTCACCAGATCAGATCAAACTCCACCCCCTCCCCCAATTGCAGCGGTTTAAACCAGTAAAGTTTTCTTCCTTGTTCATGCCACATATCTATCGTGGGTTGCCTGAGGGTCCTTATGTCTTCTCGTTCTGGACAGGAAACATATCAGCGACGTGTTTTCAAGCGATGACACTTCCTAGGGTTGTGCAGTCCACAACCTGCACATCTGTGCCTGATGACTCAGCAGTGTACTTGGCTCAAGACTTTTTTTTTTTTTTGCCTTAGGAAAAAGTTGAGCTCCTGCTCTGAGAGAGAGAACAGATTGTTGACTGGCTCTCTGGGGGGAAATGGGGTGCCCCAAACCTATGGGACCAGAAAATATCAGGTGGTTTAAACCATCTTGAACATTGCCAGGCATTATGGCAGAGAAAACCAGTTCTGGAGGGTCTCACACTGGCAATTGAATGCTCCAGTCACTTCTGCTCCTGACTCATGGGCTCCAAATAGTCATGTGACCCTACCCATCCACAAAGGGGTCTGGGAAGTGTGACCCTCCCATCCATCTGGAAGGCAAAGAACTAGAGACATTTGCAGGACAGGGTTCAGAATCACATCCCTCACTGTGGCTGATCTAGCCCCTGCCTGCCCAGCTGGCTCACCTCAGGGCCTTTTTTCTCCCACTTGTCCTTTTTCCTCCCACTTGTCCTTCAGGTCTCAGCTTCAATGGGACTTTCTCAGGGAGGCTGTATGTACGTCTGTCTTGTTCCCACAATACCGCCCCCGCCCCCAGCTCATGCCTGTCTCAGTGGCCGGCACACAGTAGGTCTTCCATAAATATTTACTACTGCATGAATCTGGAAATCTCATTCCATCTTTCCTCTGCATCAAGCCCTGCAGTAATTTCTTCTTGTTCTTTTGACAAAGGCCAAACCCCTCACTGGCTCTGCTGCGTCCTTCCCTGCCTGCCCCTCCCAGAACTGAATCCTGTCTCTGATCCACCCATGGTGGCCTTTGCCATGACCTTTGAGCCCACAGTGCCGTCCCTCACTTCCAGGCCTTTGCACGTGCTGTTCCCTCTGCCTGGAGTGCCCTTCCCTGTCCTTTCTGCACGAGGGGAATGCTTATTCATCCTTCAGGTCTCAGCCCAAATGCTATTTCCGCTGGGACTTCATCTTCGTCCGTCCCTGCTAGATGCCCCTACTGCGCATGCCCGAGGTACCTTGCATGTCCCCCCCCAAACTCATCATGGCTCTTCATGGCTTGTTTCAAGTCCTAGGTTGTAAGTTCTCTCAGGGCAGGGACCCTCTGTCTCTTACCGTCATCATCACAGCCCTGTGGTCTGGCACAGAGCAGGTGTTCGCTGGACACTGATAAATGAGTGGATGGATGAATGAGTGAGTGAACGAATGAATGCAAAAAGAGTCTAACAGTGAAGAAAGAGGAAAATCGGAGACAAGCGGGGACACGGGTCCTCAGAAGCATTAGGAAAAGGCAACACAGTTTGGGACCCTCAAAAGATTACGGGGCTCCCTGCCCAGTGCAAGCTGTCTTTGCTCAGTGTCACTGGGGGGCGCAGGTCCTAGACTCCCCTCCTCCTGCGCCCACCGCTCTAGGAGCAGAGCCGCGCCCGTGCAGGCCCTGCCCAGCCCCACAAAACAGAAGACAGCACCTTGCTGAGGGAACACTCTTCCCCGACCACGCAGCCCTGGGCAGAGGGCCGGTCGCTCCCAGCGTCACAAAAGCAGCGTCTGACATGAAGATGCCAAAGGGAACACGACTCCGAATTTAATCACAAGAGGCACCGGGAGACACTGACGCGGCAGCCCCCTCTGACAAGGACGCTGGGGACCAGCTGTAGCAGGGCTGGCCTTGCCTTCCCAGCAGGCGGTGGGGTGGCGCAGTCTGGAGGTGCCGCCCCGGCGGATGTTAAAACCAGTCGCTTGTGTCATATCCCAGGCGGGTCAGTGAGGTTTGCGTTGAGGCCGCTGCCCGTGCACAGAACGGGAAAAGAAAGTTGAGCGGGGGCCGCTTGGCTGCACGTCGGGGCTGGGGAGGCCCTCTAGTCCTGCCCCGAGGGACCTGTGCTGTGTGTGTCTCTGTGGCCCAGCTGAGGCCCAAACCCCGGCGGGTATCGACTGCAAACAGCATCCATACGCCTCCCCGGTGGGTGCGGGGCCCCGCGCTTCCCTTGACGCCTGATCATCTGAGCTGCCACCTTGCCTGATGTCCCAGTGAGAATGAATGCGTTGGGCAGCAAGGAACGGACTTCTTGACTAGAAGCAGCTGAGCGAGTAGAAGCTTGTTTGTTCGCATAATGAAACATTTGACTGGAAATAGAACATCCCAGGGGTGGTTTAGCGGCTCCACAATGATGGTTTGGTCTTTTTCTCTCTGATCCCCTCGCCCGGCCTTCTCCTCATGGTCACAAGATGGCTGCCAAAGCATAGCTGGTATCAGCTCCTCACATAACCACATTCATTCTAAGCCGCCAACAAGGGATGGGAGAGACTATTTCACAGAATCTCTCCGGCAGATTTCCTCTCGTCGGCCAGGACTAGGGTGTATGCCCGCTTCAGGGTCAGTCACCGGCAAAGGGAAATGAACTTTCCAAAATTGGCTTAGAGTAGACCAGGGGTAGCAAATTATTATATAACTCCAGGGCCAAATTTAGCCCGTTTATGGCCCTCCAGCAGAGAATGGTTTTTACATTTGAAATGGTTCCATTTGTATCGGTTAAGTGAGTACCTGCCTTATAGCCTCTTAGTCCTTGAAGCTTAAAATATTTGCTCTGTGGCCCTTTAAGAAAAAATTTTTCTGACTTTTGGCTCAGACTGATGACGTTTTCTTTAGCCCCCGGGGCTGGGGTGCAAACCAGCTCAGGGGCAGTAAGAAAACGTTTTGTCTGGCGTGACAGGAAGTGCAAAGGTAAGACCAGCCTCAGGGTGGGTTGACCAGGCCGCTCAATGCTGTCCTCAGCTCCGTTGGGTTTCATCCTCTGCCCGGGGACAAGATGGCGGCCGCCACCCCAGGAGCCACATCTGGACGTGACACTGTCTTCAGGAGACAAACCGTCTCTTCCTGTGACTCTCTTTGAGGAGTGAGGAAACTTTTTCCAGAAGCTTCCCTAGCAGACATCCTTTCTCAGTGCAGGGGCCCCGGCTGGTGAGCCCTGCTCTTAATATTAACAAACCACAGGGAGAAGGGATGAAGACCATGGTTGCCTTGGGGCCGTCTTCTGGGGAGACATGGATATTGGGGAGTCGCCACCCACTGTGTCCACCACAGTGCTGTTTGTCACCTCTGCCAGCTGCCGGGCTCTGGACCACTCTTCTGCCTCCCGAGTGGCACCTCTTGCTGCCATCGTGCCTCTGTGGTTCCTCCATGTCCCTAAGTGTGCGTATAGACCAAGGGTCCCAAACTGGTGGACCTCAGGATGGTTAAACTTGACAACATGGAAGCTTCGGTCCATTCCATGTTAAAATTTACTTAGTTGACTGCATGTTAAAAATTGGGAGATTTCATGTAAAAATTCAGATTTCTGGCTTCTCTTTTTAGAAAATACTAGAAGATCTGGCAATATTGGGCCTGAATTTTCATGGAGCAAATGTAACTAGAAAGTGTTGTGAGTGATGCTACCAACTGTTTACCTCTTTTCTACTTCCTCTGTTATAATGGATTTCTGATTTTATTCAAAGTGGTCATGTGCCCAGCTAAAAAGCTCCTCCCATGCTCCTTTGCTGCAAAGAGTTGACAACGAGCTATAAGGGGAAGTCTGTCAGGGATTTCTGAGAAAGTTTTGCTTTCCAGATTTAGGTCCTACCTCTTTATCCATACTGCATCTCTACCTTCCTCCCTGGAATATGACTGTGAAGTGTGAAGGCTGGTGCAGTGGCAGCCATCTTATAACCATGCAGGAAAGGCCAGGTGAATTATAGAGCTCTTGTCTTTAACTTCCTTGAGCTACCAAACTTGAGTCAGCAACCTGTTATGAGAAAAAGATAAACCATAATTTGTTTAAGCCTCTGTTTAGTTGGGCTTTCTGCAATTTGCAGTTGGCCCACTTTACATTTCTATGCCACCCACCTGGCCACATTTTGCAAACCTTAGAAGAGATTTTTCTCTCAGTGTCCCCCTGGTGACAGCTGAGACTGTGCTGTATAGACTTTCTGAAGACTTGGGGATAACTGAAGAGAATTAAAACTCAGTGATGCCGACACAGGATCCTAGATGCAACTGGTCCCAGAATTCGCCAAACTCTGCACAGGGCCCTCTCGCTCCTAGTGGGCCTCTGTGTGGCTGATAAACTTTATACGTCACCACACTGAGCACTTAAGCTTTCCTCATCCAGAACTTCTCAGTTCCAGAGCAGGACTTGGGCTTCAGGCTGTCCCCCAAGGCGAATTCAAGCCGCCTTCTCTAGACAAACAGGAACACGCCAGGTTGCTTCAAAGAGCAGGGTCCCCTCCATTCCCCTGCTGCCTTTATCCACCAGGGTTCCAAAAAAAAAAAAGTCTCAGAGCTTAGTCTCAGCTCAAACCCTAAGAAGAAAAGTACCTCTCGCTTAGGATCTGGTACTCACCAGTCTTTGAAGGGCACTTTTCTTTAGATGAAACTGTTCAACTAAGGCAACGTTTCAGGCTGGTTCTGTCACAGCGGGCAGTATGTGGAAGTGACTTGTAGGAGAAACCAAGGAGCGAGGTCCCCGGGCAGTGGCTGGGGAGCGTTTCGGCCTGGAGGACAGGGCTCGAGTTACACAGGAGGGGAGAGATGCTAAGGTTCTTTCCTGCCAGCCACAGCCGGTTGTGTTTCACTTATTTGAAGTCAGGGTCAATTATCATAAGGGGCAAAGCGGCTGGTGTGTCAGTTAGAAATGCTTTTGGCTGCAAGTAACATAATATCCGACCAGGAGATGCTTGGACCAAAACAATACTTATTTATCAATTTTTTAAAGAAACCTCTTATCTTGGAATACTTTTAAATTTATAAAGATAGCACAGAGAGTGTCCACATACCTTCACCTGGCTTCCCCTAATGTAAACATCCCACCATACTGTGGGACATTCGCCAATACTAAGAAATGGTTGTTATTTTTACCTGAACTCCAGTCTTTGTTGGGATTTCACTAGTTTTTTCCATTCATGTCCTTTTCTGTCCCAGGATCCAATCCAGGGCACCACATTGCATTTCGGTTATTTGTTTGTTGCTTAACAGGAAGTCCTCTGGACATGGGTGACCTCAGTGTTGTTCCACCTGCTTTCAAAGATGTGGCAGCCACGCCTTCCCCTTCGCTTGACCTCGCATCCCTCCCTCCTCTGCTTCTCTCCCTCTGCCTCAGGGGGAGAGCTGCCAGCTGCCCTTCTGCAAGGCCAGGCCCCTCCTGTGCGAAGCCTCCCTCATCCCCGTCCCATCATTAGATGGAGCCCTCGCTCCATCGGTGACACCCTTGTCACTCCTGTCTGCCACCCTCTTCCCAAGGCGTCCTTTCCTTGCCTCCTTTATCTTAACCTAAAAACCAAGCGCAAACAAAACCCAAAACAACATTCCTGCAATTCCAAGTTACTTTTCCCCTTTCTAGAAGTTTCTAGAAGTCCTCGTCTGCTTTCCCTGCTTCCCTTTCTAGGGAAGGCACTGTTTCCACTTCCACCCCGAGTGATGGAAGCAATGGCGCTTTCCCCGAAACTGCTTTCTTTGGGGTCAACAAGGACCCTGACCTCTCTCAACCCAGTAGCCTTCCCTCAGCTTCCAGCCAGAGACTTTGAACTCCCAAACACAGAGCCCAGGCGTGGATCTCTTTAGGACAGTGGGTCTTACACCTATCCCTCCATTCTTGTCCTTTCTTTCTTCCTCCCGTCTTCCCCCCACTGAGATGTTACTCAGTCAAGAGCACACATCTTCAGGGTGCAGCTCAAATGAATCCTCACTTGGGGGTACACCCACGCAACCGTCACCATGATCACCACATAGAGTCCTGCAGCACTGAGACGGCTCCCTCAGTCCCCTTCCATTAACTATCCCTCAAGGAACTCCTCTCCTGACCTGAACATCGTGGATTTGTTTGGCCTGCATGTAGCCCTGTGTTTAATCGCCTCTTCTAGAATGAGCTCTTCATGCCTGGCCTCTCTCAGTAACACTGTATCTGTCAACACCCTTTTTCAACAGCAAATAAATACCCCTTTACAATGCTGCCATGAAATTCACAGAAGGTAGAATCCTTTAGCCTTACTTATTCTTTTAAATCAATATGATGCCCTCATTATAACATAAAGGAGAAATAAAAGTTATTTGCACTAAAAGTTTTATTTTGATATGTGAACATTCTGGTCTGACTCACCTACAGCAGGGCCAGCAAACTGTCTCTGCAGAGGACCAGATAGTAAATATGTTGGCTTTGCGGCCGCATGGCCTTTGTCACTATTAATACTTAACTCTGCCTTTGCAGCAGGAAGGCAGCCATAGACAATATATCCACAAATGGGTGTGGCCATGTTCCAATAAAACTTTATTTATAAAAGCAGGCAGTGGGCCAGATTTGGCCATGGGCTGTGGTTCGCAAACCCCTGGCCTAAAAGGTGTTATCAGAGACCTGGAATAATACATAAAATCGCCAAGGATCCCACAGCCGCACTGCAGGCTGATTCAGGCTTGTTGTATCCACGACCCAAAGAACGTGGTCTGGGTTGTGTTAGTGACATGATTTCTGGAATGGTGACCAACTTTTGGTAAAGTTCCAAACAAATCAAAGAATAATCTTCTCTTGATTTATGCAGTGACTACAGTCATGGATAATTCAGTGTCCATTAGAAATGAATGAAAAATATGGGTGTATACATATAAAAGATAGTTTTATTCTAGGTACAGGAAATTATAAAGAGGGTTTTCACCTACATAATGCCCAGAGGGACATTGGGAGGTCACAAGGGATGGGGGTGAGTCTTAGATGTCTGGTGCTGTTCTACATGTCACAGGGTGTGTGGCATCTCATGACCCACATATTAAGTGGCACTAGTGCCCTCATCATTGCAACAGCCAAACACACACACACACACACACACACACACACAAACTCCAAACACCATAAGGTTATAGATGATCCCTTGGGGACAATGTCATTTATGCTGGAAACCAGAGGTGTAGGGAGACAAAATTTATATCCACATGTGAGCAAAATTTACCTGCACAGGTGAGAGCAAAAACTCTAACTTGCCTCATTTTACCCCAAACTGGCTAAGATTAAGTTGACTTGAGCAGGCCTCCCAGAGATAAGCGAAGATTCTATTTATAGGAAAAGAAAGAACACTGCAGGTTTTGTTTTTGCACACTTGAGTGAGCGCGCTGTATGTAGCGTGAGTACTGTGCAGATGTTAACACAGCTGGGCTTTCTCCCTTTCTCTTTTTCAGATCATTCAGATGGAAAAAAAAATCGCAAACCAAAAACAGATCTTCTTAAAAATGCAGGAGGCCAACAACCCCCAGAAACTTCAGAAGCAGATCCATGTTTTGGAAACCCGTTTGAATCTCGTACGTAAGGTGTTCTCGGCAGCTTTTGCCAGCAGCTCTGCGGCCTGAGCTAAGACTAAGAACAGTGTCTGCTGAGCTGTTTAGCAGAATGTGCCCATTTCCCTGGTCGGCTCAGGAGAAAGTTAACGCATGGTGGACATGTAGACCAGGAAGCCTTTAGAATTTACCGTCCACCCTGCTCCACCCACGCTGTCCCATCCACCTTAGCAAATGCTGTTGTCCCCTGAGCCCTTTCCCTAAGCCCCCACGTCACCTGGGATGCCTACTCCCAGTTCCCTGTCTCAAAAATTCTTGTTTGTTTCCAAGAAACAGGTCACCAGGCAGAATTAGTTAGACCTTCTTCCTCCGTGGCAGTCTTCTCATGTCTCTATTATGGCTACTGTCTTTCTGTTGTCGATGTCGTCTCTAAGATCTCTAAGGCACAGATGTGTATGACTTGAGGACGGGAAAAGTGACAGCTCCTGATTGCCCTCAATTTACAGTGACTTTTGCATTAACCAAGATTGTCTAAATTGCAAAGTGGCCTAAGCAAAAAACAAAAAGAGAAAAAAACAAAGGGACTATATTGGTCATAGAACTGAAAATACAGAGGAGGAAGTGGGGCCTTCAGGCATAGCTGGATCCAGGTGCTTCGGACATGTCTTTAGGACATAATCTCTGTCCATCTCTCCTCTGGGTGGACTTCATTCTTGAGTAGCTCGCAATGTGAGCAATTGCCAGCAAAAAGGAAACATCTCTTTCTTGACACAGTATAATTTTATTACTCATTGTCCTCATGTTGTACATTAGCTCTCTAGACTTGTTCATCCTACCTGTCTGCTACTTTGTATTCTCGGACCTACATCTTCCGATTTCTTCCTCCCACCCCGACCCCCGTTCCTGGTAACCTCTGTCTTATTCTCTATCTCTGTATATTTTACTTGTTTTTTTTAGATTCCACATATAAGTGAGAGCATGTAATATTTTTCTGTCTTTGTTTAGCTTATTTCACTTAGCATAATGTCCTCCATGTTCATCCACCTTGTGACAAATGGCAGGACTTCCTTTATTAAAGGCTGAATAACATTCCATTGTGTATACAGACAATGTCTTTATCTATTCCTATGTCGGCGGACACTTAGGTTGTTTCCAAATCTTGGCTGTGGTGGATAATACAGCAGTGAACATGGGAATGCAGATATCTGTATGAGGTGGTGATTTCATTTATTGTGGGTGTTATGCCCAGAAGAAAGATTGCAGGGTTGTATGGTAGTTCTATTTTTAATTTCTTTAGAAACCTCCATACTGTTTTCTATTATAGCTGTGACAATCTACATTCCCACTAATAATGTAACCAACAACATCATCTTTTGGTCATTTATTTTTTTGGGGACAGAATCTCACTCTGTTGCCCAGGCTAGAGTGCAGTGGAGTCATTGTAGCTCACAGCAACCTCAAACTCCTGGGCTAAAGTGATCCTCCTGCCTCAGCCTCCCGAGTAGCTGGGACTACAGACATGCATCACCATGCCCGGCTAATTTTTCTATTTTTAGTAGAGACGGGGTCTCGCTCTTGCTCAGGCTAGTCTCAAACTCCTGAGCTCAAGCAATCCTCCTGCCTCCGCTTCGCAGAGTGCTAGGATTGCAGGTGTGAGCCGCCACACCTGGCCCTCAAAAGGTAGAACTTTCTACAGGACAACTGACTTGGACTCTTCAACAAATTGATGGCATAAGAAAAATTGGGGTGGGACTATTTTTGTGCAGTTTCTCAAATTTAGCACTATTGGTATATGGGCTGGATAATTCCTTGTGGTGAGGGGCTTTGCTTTGTGTTGTAGATTGTTAAATACCTACTACTACCCACTAGACGCAAGTAGCACCCTCACCTCCAGCCCAGTTGTGACAACCTAAAATATTTCCTTTTGCAAACAATGTCGCTTTGGAGGCAAAATCAACCCCCAACTGACAGTCACTATTCTGGTTTGTTTGTTTTTTTAAATTTTTTTCTAAATTCTTCTGCTTTTTTCCCCCCCAGTGTAACACAGTCAATAGGTTTGAAGACAGCCACTATTCTGGATTAAAGACATTTAAGATACATAAAAATTATGTAAGCTTTGATTGGATTCACCTTTAAAAGATATTTCTGGGCCAGCCAGAGAAATTTTAATATGGACTTGGTATTGGGTAACATTATGAAAATATTGTTAATTTTGTGAGGTGTGATACCAATCTTGTGATTATGAAAGAAAAGGTTTAATTTTAAGAGATGCAAACTAAAGTATTTCAGGGTGAAATGTCATGACACTATGGCACTCTAGCCTAGGCAACAGAGTGAGGCTCTGTCTCAAAAAGAATAAAAAAAAAAAAAGGACGTTCTACCAATTGGATTTTGTTATTTCCTATGGTGTCATTTAGCTTGTTCCTCTCTCCCCTGGACATTAGATCTAAAAGTAGCTGAGAAATTGGTTGGTGGCCAACTCCAGCCTCTCACCCAGTGCTCTGACCACTGTCTTGTGGCCCTGGGGTGGGAGGTGGGGTGAAGGCCTTCCAGCCCTCCAGCTGCCTCCTGGAAGCTCGTCTCATGCCCTATGTATGAGCCTTGTTTTGAAGCACAGCCTTTCCAACAGGTCACTGTCCAATTTGACAAGATGCTGACCACCAACGCCAAGCTCCGGAAGGAGATTGAGGACCTACGCTTTGAGAAGGCTGCTTACGACAACGTCTACCAGCAGCTGCACCGGCGCATGTCCATGCAGAAGAAAACGATGCAAGCGGCTATCGAGCAATCTACCCAGGCCTACGAGCAGAGGTGCGCTGGGGACAGGCCTGGGAAGTGATGTCTCTTGGCCCCTTGCTAAGCACCTAGCTTCCTGCTCTGGGCCACCTCTGCCCCCAGTGCTTCTATGTTGGGGAACCTTAAATTGTAATAATCGTAATAGTAATAATTCTGAGCACTGTGTGCCAGGTATGATGCTAGAGGCTCAGGGCATTATTTTAACCTTCACAACTTGCCCTAGGGGTTATGATACCCATTTTACAGGTCAGGACAGGGAGGCTTAGAGATGCTAAAGTACTTACCTGAGATCCAGCTAAGTGGTGGATGTCGTGGAGCTGAGATTCAAACCTCTATACAATACCATCTCTTCCAGGGGTCCTCAGGGACCCCTCCTCCAAGGGGTCTTTCTCAGTCTGGTTCTCTCCTGGCTTCACACTCATGGGGACAAAAGGCATATAGTTTGGCTGCGAAGAGCCTGGGTTTTAGGGTCAGACAGATCTGGGTTTCAATCCTGCCTCCATCACTACTATGTTGTTGTAGGGTCTCTTTAGATGGCAGAGAGGATTAAATAATATATGTATGTAAGGGAGTGCTGGGACATAGCAACTAATAAGTGGTGATGGTGATGGTGATGGTGATGGTGATGATGGTGATGGTAGTGGTGAAGATGATGGTGGTGGTAAGGATGATGATGGTGGTGATGATGGTGTTGGTGGTGGTGAAGATGATGGTGATGGTGGTGATGATGATGGTGGTGGTAAGGATGATGGGGGTGGTGATGATGGTGTTGGTGGTGGTGATGATGGTAATGATGATAGTGGTGATGATGATGATGGTGGTGGTGATGATGATGATGGTGGTGGTGATGATGATGATGGTGGTGGTAATGATGATAGAGTGGTGGTGATGATGACAATGGTGATAGTGATGATCATAATGGTGGTGATGGTGGTGGTAATGATGATAGTGGTGGTGATGATGATGGTGGTTGTGGTGATGATGATGATGATGGTGTTGGTGATGATGATGATAGTGGTGGTGAGGATGGTGATGGTGATGATGATAATGGTGGTGATGGTGGTGGTGAAGATGATGGTGATGGTGGTGATGGTGATGGTGGTGATGATGTGATAAAGATGATAATGAAAATAATGATAGAAAAATTTCCCAGGGGTGGTCTAGAGCTTATGTTGTTCAGGTAGCTCCTGTTGTTCAGGTAAGGAGGATTGTTTTTCTGCCCCCAGAAATCTTCATGATTAAAAAAGTGATGGTCAGGTGGGCTGGGTGGCTCACACCTGTAATCCCAGCACTTGGGGAAGCTGAGGTGGGAGGATCACTCTAGGCCAGGAGTTTGAGACCAGCCTGGGCAATATAATGAGACCCTATCTCTACAAAATATTAAAAAATTAGCTGTAGTCCCAGCTACTTGGGACGCTGATGTGGGAGGAGTAAGCCAAGGCCTTTGAGGCTACAGTAAGCTATGATCATGCCACTGCCCTCCAGCCTGGGTGATAGAGTGAGACCCTGTCTCTCAAAAAAAAGAAAGACAGGCATTGGCCAATAGGAAGTCTCTCTCTCTTTTTTTTTTTTTTTTTTTTTGAGACAGAGTCTCACTTTGTTGCCCAGGCTAGAGTGAGTGCCATGGCATCAGCCTAGCTCACAGCAACCTCAAACTCCTGGGCTCAAGCAATCCTCCTGCCTCAGCCTCCCGAGTAGCTGGGACTACAGGCATGCGCCACCATGCCCAGCTAATTATATATATATATATATATTTAGTTGGTCAATTAGTTTCTTTCTATTTTTAGTAGAGACAGGGTCTCGCTCAGGCTGGTTTCAAACTTCTGACCTTGAGCGATCCACCCGCCTCGGCCTCCCAGAGTGCTAGGATTACAGGCGCGAGCCACCGCGCCTGGCCAGGAAGTCTCTATTGATTGGCAGGGAGAAGGAAGGAGAAGGAGGAAGCTCTGAATACTCAGGTTCTGCATCCCCTCCTCCAGACTGGAGGCCATGGCTCGAATGGCTGCCATGAAGGACCGCCAGCAGAAGGACATCTCACAGTACAACCTGGAGATCCGAGAGCTGGAACGTCTCTACGCCCATGAGACCAAGCTCAAATCCTTCCTGCTCTGCAAGCTGAATGACCGCACTGAATTCGAGGAGCAGTCCAAAAAGGAAGAAGGTACACGGTCTAGGTGCACGAGCAGGTGTTCCTGCACTCTCTCACTCTCTCCCCCTCTCTAAGGTGCCGAAGTCTCCTTGTAGTAGGGTTGCTAAATTTAACAAATAAAAACACAAGATGCCTAGTTAAATTTAAATTATAGATAAACAATCAATTTTTAGGGTATGTCCTATATAATATTTGGGACTTATAATAAAAATTTATTCATATTTTATCTATAATTGGTACATGTTGATACTTTAAAAATTGTATTCCTTGTCCAAAATTCAAATTTAACTGGGCCAACCCTCACCTGTAGGATGTGTCCTCAGTCTGGGCTCTCCTATGGTTTGGGGGGGGGACTTGTGTGTCAGGGGTTCCTGAGATCGTCCCTAGGTTTGATGATTTGCTAGGAGGACCCACAGGATTCAGCATATAGACACACTCATGGCTACGATGTATCACAGTGAGAGGACACAAAGACAAAACAGCACAGGGAAAAGGGGCATGGGGCGAAGTCCAGAGGGAACTAGGCACAAGCTTCCAAGAGGAGTCACACAGAACACTCTTAATTCCTCCAGCATCTAATTGTGACAATGTGCATGAAGAGTTGTCCACTAGGAGAGTACAGTAGGGACTCAGTGCCCTAAATTCTTACTGGGGGCTGGTCACTTAGGCATCCTCTGTCCAGCCCACACCAAAATTCCAGACTCCCAGAGGGAAAGCAGGTGTCTAGCCTAAAGCACACTGTCTGTACAGCCCAGACACAGAGAACCACTCTTATCACTCAGGGAAAGTTCTATATCAGTGTAGGGAGCTGTTTACCAGTCAAGTTCCCGGATGCCTGACAAGAGTCAACCTCACAACTAGGCCTTTCTAAAGACAGCAACCTCAGACCTGCTATGTTAACTCTCTTCTGAACAGACTGAAAAACCTGAGCTCTTCTGTGAGCCCCTCTGTGCGGCTACATTTGTACTTTCTGTCTCTGCTGCCTTTTCCTGCTTTATCATTTGGGCCAGCATTGCTAGAAGTGTGTTGCTGCGGAACTCCCATCTCTTACTCTCTAAAATAACAAAAACCATCCAAGCTTTTTATCCTTTTGGACCTTTCATCCCTCCATCATTCCGTTAACTTAGTCATTTATCAATCCATTCATTAGTCCATCAGTCTAGTCATGTAGTCACCTATTCTTCCATCCATCAGCCATCCTTCCATCCTTCAATCATCCATCTCTCCATCCATTTACTGAGCCACTAGCTCATGCAAGCTTCTATTCTAAGTGCTTTGTATGCACGGTTTCCATTTGGTCCTCACAACTCTAAGAGGCAGACATTATCATTAATATGCCCCATTTACAGATGAGACACTGCAGCTCAGAGTGGATATATGACCAAGCCAAGGGGCAGGGCAACTTAAGCAACAGGCCCAGGCCCCATCCCAGATGTGTCTGCCTTCCAAAGCCAGAGGTCCTGTCTTCTCTCTCTATCCAGTGAGCAGCTTCACAACTCCACCAGTTTTGTTTTTTCTACATCTTTTTGATTCTTGAATCTCACATCCATTCTCCCTCTTCTCACACCTCAGTCTTGGCATTGTCCCCACTGCCTTCCTCCTGGCTGCTTCTGCTGGGTCTCCCTGTCTCCAGCCTCTTCCTGCTTCAAGCTTCCCTCAAAGTGATCCTTTGGGGCTACATTCTCTGCAACCTGTCGACCCCTTCATTCATCCATCCAGCGGATCCATTCCTAGTCATTCAGCAAATTTTAATGGTTCCTTACCCTGAAGCTGGCAGCACGCTGAGAGCTGGAGACAGCAGTGACCAAGATAATGCTAGCTCTGATGTCTTGGAGCTTCCATTCTAGATACAGAGACCTAGAAAAAAATAAACAAGCAAATAGACAAATGCAAAGACTTCAAGTTGTGATAGAACCTTCAGAGGGAGAAAACAAGGGACTGAGATGGAATGCTTTTAGACAGAGTAGATGAGGAAGGTCTCTGAAGAAGGGACATTCAGCCTGTGACCCAAAGGACTCTAGTTGTGTGGGAATGAGACATCCCAGCAGAGGGACTAGCAAAGACAAGGAGAAGAGGTGGGGATGGGCTAGAGCAGAGTGCAGAGGTGAAGCTACAGAGACAGCAGGGACCACTCCAGCAGGACCATTGCTTTATTCTGACTGTGGGCCAGGAACTGGGTGAGTTGTGAGGGATACAATGGGGAATAAGACAGAGTCCTGCCCTCCCAGTGTTGACTTACTGGGGACACAAGAAATAAGCAAATGCAGACATGAATCTGACATCTCGGGAACCATTGAGCATGATGAAGAAAATAACCGATGGACAATGAAGGGGGCTGCTTCATCCAGGTGGTCGGGGTGGGCCTGCCACTCGGGCAGAGGCTTGAATGACACGAGGGACCAGACTGGGGAGAAGAGCAACCCAGGCTGAGGGTGCAGCAAGAGCAAAGGCCCTGAGGTGTGAATGGGGTGGTGTTCTGGAAAGAGAGAAGGCCAGTGTGGCTAGAATGCGTTGATGCTGGCAGGAGAGTGGCAGGAGATGAGACTGAGAAGGGGCCATGTCACATAGGACCTTGTAGACTGTGTTGCGGAGCACAACAGTTACCCTAGTGTGGCGGGAAATCATCACTGGATTTAGGCAAAGTAGTGACAGTCTGGCCGTAACAAGTTGCTAAGGGTCTCAAATGATGCTGAGAAGCTTTAACTTTATCCCAAGGACAGTGGGAAGCCACAACATGTAAGGTGGCAGGGGTCACGTGGCCAGATGTGCCTAGAAAGATCCTTCCAACTGCTGTATGGAGGCTGAATCAGAGAAACGAGAGTGGGTTCAGGGGAGTTGGGGCTGTTGCAGGCGTCCAGGCTGGAGAAAATGCAGCTCGGAGAACTTTCTTGGTTCTAATTGTTTGAATTTGCCAAGTTCTGAGCCTTCCAAAGGCCCTCTGCCCCCAGGTCTTCCTTGGCCACTTCTCTGACCTTCATCCCCCTCCATTGTCACCTCAAAGAGGTAACACTCATCTAAAACAGAAACCCCATTACAGCATGTAATGGTCCCCTTGCAGCCACAATGGTGATCACTGGATTTCTTTTTCTGTTTACTTGGATATCTTCCTCTCCTCCCCTCCCCTCCCCTCCCCTCCTTTCTTCTTATTGGATTCCCCCACTAAAAGCTCCATGGGGCAGAGATTTTTGTATCAGTGGCGCCTAGCACAGTGTCTGGCATGTAATGAATGCTTAATTCAATATCTGTGAATGAATGTAGCTTCTGCCCATCTCCTGGAAAAATTGAGCCTACTCCCCAAGGCATAATGTCATCATATCGATCACATCCTAGCTGCCTGGCAAGGGTCCGAGGGGCTGCCTTTTGAAACTCACTGTGGCTGGTGTTTCCTTCCCTAGCTCTCAAGGCAAAGAAGCGCGGCAAGAAGAGCAAGGGAGAGAGTTTTGAGAGCTACGAGGTGGCCCACCTCCGGCTGATGAAGCTGGTTGAGAGCGGGAACCTGAACCAGCTCATTGAGGAATTTCTGGCCAAGGAGGAGAAGAACTTTGCTCGGTTCACATACGTCACGGAGCTCAACAATGACATGGAGATGATGCATAAGAAGACCCAGAGTATCCAGGTGGGGGCAGCTCTTGTTTCCCTGGGACCCCCTGTGACGACAGCAGCCTTTCCCAGAACAGACTCCTTAGAAGCCTCCATGAGACACTCTGCAGAAAAAAAGGGCCTCAAGGTCAAATCCATTTGGCAAACACTGCTATATCCCCCCAGCCTTCCCCTACACGTTACCTTTTCAATTTATATGTGCATTTAATCTGTTCATGTCTCCCCTACCCCCAACAGTGACATTTATAATCCATAGCATGTTTTATAATCCATGGTTCAGTAAACTACAGCCCCTGGCTGTTTTTGTACAGCCCATGAATTAAGAATGATTTTTACATTTTTAAAGTATTATAAGAGAAAGAGAGAAAAAGAGAAATATGCAAGAGACCTGCAAAGCCAAAAATATTTCTAGCTGGCCCTTTGCCTTAAAAGTTTGGCCCCCTGGTAATCAATAGCTTCCTAGAATTAAAGGAGAGATGGTGAATTCTCATCTTGGAGAGAGACTTGATGTATATGAGCACAGTAAAGGCTCTGACAAGTCCTGCAGTAAAGAAACCTGTTTACCGTTGTTGAACCCATAATTTCCCAAACTTAATTGGCTCCCTGGGCTACATACTCCCCAGAACAGAAACAAACATCCTTTGGAACTGTCTGCCCAGAAAAGAGACTAAACTCCTAAGTGTGACACCCAAAACCCTTTCAAACTTTGGCTTAAAAACCTGCCTTTGAAGGCTTAAGTCACATTATAACCCCCTGGGCACCCTCTAGCCAAGGCACCAGCTGCCAGTCCCAGCTGTCCCAGGCATTTCCCTCCTCTGATGCTCTCCTGGTGTTGTTACCTCTCCGTCCCCAACCCTTCTCTACTGATGAAATCCTGCTCATTAGTCCTGACCCAGCACAAATGTCACCCCCTCTGGGGATTCATTACTCCTTCCTCTGAGGTCCCTGTCCTCTGTTTATATGACAAGGGGAGCTCTGCTTTGCAATATGTCACTGTTTCCAAATGGGGGGGGGAGTGTATGCTTGCCATATGCAAATCGATTGCAGCTAGAATATAGGCGAAAACATTTTCCTTTACTAGCGATCAACTAATCTTAATGAGTATCAGGAAAAATACAGGTTGCAGAGCAAACTTGTGATTTAATGGGTGCTACTTAGGGTAATAAGTAGTAACAGTAAACAGAATAATAAACATAAAATAATAAAACTGGCTGATTTCAAGAGAACTCGCAATAAATAATCCTAGATATTTATAGATAATAATAGTCCAGGTGGGAGGAGACAATGGCAGCAATCAAGGTGGTTCTATCAGTTGGGGTTGTCACAGGAAACAGATGGGACAGTCGAAAGGAGGAAATGGAGGGCAGTTTTTTAAAAAAGGACTGTTTACTAAGGTCCAGGGAAATTGAGACGCAAGCAGGACCAGCAAAAGCGGGCACCACAAAGGGTGAGGGGTGGGAGAAGGTTCTGGAACCGGGAGAGAGGTGTGTGGAGAAGGCTGCAGGCTCCTCGCTGCAGTGCCCTCCCTGGAGGGACGCGGCCAAACGAGGGAGCCGCCAGGGGGGAGGGCGAAGCCCCTAGCCGCCACTCCTGCCACCCTTCAAGCTGGTGCCTCCCATTGGCTGCGCCCAGCCGGAACCGGAACCGGAACCGGAGCTCGAGGGGCCTTGTAGGTCCCGGGGTGGTGAGGGGGGATCCGGAAGTAAGTGGGGGATCCCCGCTCAGTGTGGGGGGTGGGGCAGAGAGCTGCGCTCTGTCCGCGTCCTGAAGGGGAGTGTTCCAGAGGACACGCGCAGCGGCGGCTCCCAGTGTCCCGGATGCCCCTGCGCCCTGCGGGAGGCCCCGGAAGTGCTTCCTCCGCGGGGCTGACCTTGACCTCCCCTTCGCCGCCGTGGGGTGCTCTCTCCTTTCCTCCCTCAGCCGGGCAGCTGTCCCCTGCGTTAGGACGCGTGTGTCGGCCCGGGCCTCAGTCTCCCCATCTGTGGAAAGACACGCGTGTGTGGACTGGAGGGGGAGCTTCCAGGCTTCTCTATAAATGCTGCGAAGCACTTTCGTTTGAACGGATGTTATCCGGAAACTCTAACGTCTAAAGCAGAGGACATGGGGCGGTCCTGACCCCGTCTCCCTGCCCTTGTGGAGCCTCTGCCTCACTGGGTCCAGGTTCTAAACAAGCTTTTTTTTTTTTTTTTTTTTTTTAATTAAAAACCGATTAGGCTCTAACATCTGACTTCACCCCTGCCTAGATGGCTGGGGTCGGAGGTCACAGCTGAATCCAGCCTTCTTTCTCCTCCATCCCCGTCCCTTCCCCCCATTTATTTGTGTGTTGCCAACATGTAAATATCAGGATATTCTACATGAAAATCTGAATTTCTGGTTTCTCTTGGAAAATCAGATCTGCCAACTCCGGCCCACATTCCCGCGGGCATCTGAGCCCCTGTGGACGGGTCAGGCCCGGGCTCCCCGTCCACCGCCACCCGCGGGCTGTGCCGTGCCCGAGGCCCGCGGAGCCCCGTGGGCCCGAGTTCGCGCGGCGGGTTCGCGCGGTCCACCGCTGCCCTCCGGTGGCCATCTGCGGTATTGCAGGGAAGGTCTTTGCGCCAAAGCGCTGGAGCTGAATTCTCATTTTCCAGGAGGTCACTGGTCCCAACGGGATGACAAGGACAAGCCTTGGCACAGGGCTGTGAGGGCGCCAGCTGAATTCTCCGACCTAACCAGAAAATGTTCCTGAACCAGAATAGGTCTTGGTTTTTCCCATTCCCTGTAAGGGGACCTTCTCCCTTAGCTACATGACATGTCTTCCTCATTAGACAAATGTGTCTGATGAGGGAGGGGCAGGTCCGCGCCCTTTCTGGGCCTCAGTTTCCCAATCTGTGGGCTTATGTTTGGGCCAGAACAGCAGCTTCCAAGCTCTTTGTTCAAGTTACAGAACCGTACCTTTTTTGGGCTTTAGTAGAAACGCAAATGCCTATGGAATAAGTCTGGAAAGCCCTGATTTCCAATGGGAAGATCTAGTTAAAAAAAAAAAAGTAATAAGAGGCACTCATTAAAGAAAAATTGGAAACTATGTAAGGATAAAAGGAATTTTCCCCCATTGCCCAGAGACAATCATAGGTGACATTTTGAAATTTTTTTTCTAACCTTTACTTTGGGTTGTGCTTTTAAAACTTAACATAGTGCTCATCACATATAGTACATAAAAACTTGTATGTTCTGATTGGAAAAAAACATTCTTTTGGTTATTTGTTAATCCGGCAAGTATTTATGGGGAACCTGCCACGTGTCAGGCACTGTTCTAGACATGGGTGATGTGCAGTGAGCAAAATGACAAAAAGCTCAGCCCCCATGGAGCTTCTGTTAATATCCTGGCAGGGAGAAACAGTAAACAACAACCCTAATAATTACATAAATTATAAAGTAAATTAGAAAGCGAGAAGTGGTGCAGATACAAAGATGAAGTAGAACAGTGTATGATGGGTTTGGAGCTGTTTGAGGACATGGGCAGTTGAGGAGTTAAGATTTAAGCAAACTTGCAGGTGGAGTAGTGAGCTGCCCAGATGTCCAGAGGAATAATGTTCCAGGCAGCGGGAATAGCAAGTGCAAAGGTTCTGAGGCACGAGAATGCATGCAGGTCAAGGAGTGGAGAGAGAGACATAGGGTGGGAGGGAGGAGATGAAGTCTGAGAGGTGAGGGATGTCGTGTGCATTTCCAGAAGGGTTTTTGGCAGTTACCCTGAGGGACAGGGGCTATGGGACAGTTCTGGGCAGAGGAGCAGCACCATCTGAATCCATTATTTACACAGTTTGGAAAACACTGAAAAAATATAAGTAGGAACCCCAAATCAGGAAGAATCCTGTCACCTGGAGATCGTATTGCTTAATCTTTTTGATAGGGTTCTTTTTTGCTTGTTTTCCTCCTGAAAAGATTGGAAGACTCACTTCATATAATTTTTTTCCAAAATAAAATGATTTTATTCTAATTAGAAAGATAACAAATACACACCTGTGGGAAAATATAGGCAATTCAGAAAAAATATAAAGAAGTAAAAGTCACCAAGACATCACCACTGGGAGATAATTAACGTTTTGGTGACATTGATGAAGGCAGCGTGCACTTACACATGTATACACTCGTGCACCCCCCCCACACACACACAGACAGACACACACACACCACACACACAGATACCCAGATGCTTATTTATAGTCCTAGGATCGTACTAAATAGTTCATGGTGTTTCGTACGCTTTTTTTTGCTGATTTACCATGGATACCTCCCAACATCTTCCATGTTCCTTTTAATGGCTTCTGGGGACGCCAGATGCCCTGAGGTAGAATCATAAGATGCTTCTTAAAAATTCAGACCCCCGGCCGGGCACGGTGGCTCATGTCTGTAATCTTAGCACTCTGGGAAGCTGAGGCGGGTGGATCCCTCAAGGTCAGGAGCTTGAAACCAGCCTGAGTGAGACCCCCGTCTCTACTATAAATAGAAAGAAACTAATTGACCAACTAAAAATATGTATACAAAAAATTAGCCGGGCATAGTGGCGCATGCCTGTAGTTCCAGCTACTCGGGAGGCTGAGGCCAGCAGGATCGCTTGAGCCCAGGAGTTTGAGGTTGCCTGTGAGCTAGGCTGATGCCCACGGCACTCACTCCTAGCCTGGGCAACAAAGTGAGACTCTGTCTAAAAAAAAAAAAAAAAAAAAAAATTCAGACCCCCCAGGCCCTGTTTCATACCTACAGTCCTAGATTCTCTGTGGAAGGGCCAGGAATCTGCATTTTAGCCACATTTTTATTTGAGATCTTCCCCTATCCCCTCCCCCTATGAATGTACCATCATTGGTTTAACTGATCTCCTATCAGCAGACATCTGGATTGTCCCTAACTGTGGACCCTTATAAACAGTAACACAACAGGCAGCATGCAGACCCCATCTGTGCCCACTTGTCCTCCTATTTCCATGGGACAGATGCCTGGGGATGGTCTCGCTCAAAGGGCGTGTGTGTCGTTCAAGCCCAGTGGTCCCAGAAGGTGGTCTCCAGAACAGGAAAATTGGGGTCACCTGGGAACTAGGCCCCCACCTCAGACTTTCTGAATCAGAGTCCCGTGGTGTGGGGCTCAGCAATCCATGTTTTCACAATTTTCCAGGTGATTCTGAGACTTGCTAGAGTTTGAGAACTCCTGAGCCGCACGAGCCTGTGCTGCAGCCACTCTGCACCTGTCGGTACTTAAGTTAATTGAAATTAAACCCAATTCCAAGTGTTCAGCACCCACGTGTGGCCAGTGACTGCAGGGCAGATAGGACATTGCCACCAACGGAGAAAAGCTGTATTGCCCGCACTGTTCTAGACAGTTTGCCAGGAAGGAAACAACCCCCCTACCACCCCCTCACCCTCCTTTTAATTAAGAAACACTAGAAAGAACCCCCACGGGCATAAGAGGGGCCCAGGGTCTGGGGCTCCCTGAAACAGAGAATTGAAATCCTCATCAACTCCTCGGGGCGCAGGCTGTTTTTAGGCATGGCGGGGCAGGGGCACCCTTGCTTTTCTTCACATTCTGACTCTCTCCCTGGCAGAACGAGATCATTGGCCTGCGATCGCGACAGCAGTCGTCCCACGATGGCGGCCGCTCTGCCCTGAGACAGCTGGAGGTGAGACCAGGGTGCGGAGGGAGGGACGCTGGGGCCTCCCCTCCCTGTCTGTCATCGGGCGTCTGTCAGCCGGTTCTCAGGGTAGGAAGATGTCTGCCCCATGACTGAGACTGGCCTGAGTCACATCCAGAGGTGTCCCGACCCTTTGTCACAGGCAGCCTCTGCTACCGGTATTGCTGCAGAATTTTGTCCCTAGACCCCTGCCCCCATTTCAGGGAGTCTGGCCCAGGCTGCTGGGCCTGCAATTTCACCCCCGACAGGCTTCTTCCAGACAGATCTCTGCCTCAGCCTCTCTTTTTCTCTCCCCCTTGTCCCAGCTATGTCTCAATCAGTAAGAGCAAGTGCAAACATCTCTTGAGCAATTACGATGTACTAGGCCCTGGGCTAAGTGCTTTGCTTGCAGCATCTCATGGAATCCTCACAGCCACTCTGCGAGGCAGGTGTATTGATCTGCCCATTTCATAGATGAGGAAACTAAGTTCACACAGAGAAAGTCATGTGGCCAACATCAAGGAGCTGGGATTTTATATGAGCTTTGAATTATATTCAGCTGCTAATAACAGGAACCTGAAATGACAGTGGCCTAAGCAAGACAGAATTTTAATTACTTTAAGAAATAAGTCTGAGAATAGATACTTCAGGGCTGCTATGGTGCTTTCCTGATGTCCTCAGTGGCCCAGGTGGCATCTATTTTTCTGTTTTGCCACCCTTAGTGTGTGGCTGATAGTCCACGGTGCCTGATTGTTGCATTGTAGCTGCCCCCGGGACCACGTGGGGCCCCAAGCATGTGCCCAACTTCGGGAGGGTCTCCATGGACCTGGACCCCACCTGGAAGTCTGTAAGCCCCGCCCCCACGATTCCTGCCAAGTGTCTCTCTGAGCCTGAGCCCACAACAGGCAGTGTGTGCCATGGTGCTTTGCTGCCACCCAGTGGCCAAACAGAGTTTTACACCACATCCCTGTCTACCAGGTGCAGGTGCCAAGGACAGAAATAAGCCACTGGGTCATAAGAGAATTTGTCTTACTAGCAATGGGCTCACAGGTGGTCCAGACATCACATATACATTCCAGACAGGAGCAAAGCAGGGTAGGGGGAAAAGATCTTGCTAAGTCAGCCAGCTTAAAAGGTGTTTCCCAGAAGTTGCAGCCAGTGACTTCTGTATTTATATCTCATTGGCCATCTCTGTTGCAAGAGAAGTTTGGAAATGTAATTTTCAGCTGGTCACATTGTCACCATAAATAAAATCAGGGTTTATTAAGGCACAAAGGGGGATATGGATAGCAAATATCTGACAAAGATACGAACTCAGAGAGTTTGACTGCAAAGCCCTGTTTTAATCCAGTAGTTCCTGGCCCAGGAACTGCACTCCTGGGTCATTTCCCTTCCCCTGTTTGTGGCTTATTTCTGTCCTTGGCCTGCACCTGGTAAACTGGGGTGGCGTTGTCATTCTCTGTTTGGCCACTGGATGGCAGCAAAGCACCATGGCACACACTGCCCGTTGCCGGCTCCGGCTCAGAGAGACACGTCACAGGAATCAGGGGCGGGGCTTACAGACTTCCAGGCAGGGGCCAGGGCCGTGGAGACCCTCCCGAAGTTGGGCACATGCTTGGGGTCCCACGTGGTCGCAGGGGACTGCCCCGAGTCCAGATTCTTGTCGGGGTTGAGACCGGTGCTGCTCTCTACATCTTGGGGTGTGGGAGAGGCTGCCCAGGCAACCTCAAGCATCCCCCCAACCTCTGCCTGAAGTCCCCCCATTAGCTTTTTGTTTCCTTGGTTTGGCATGACTTTTGGGGCTTCTTTCCAAATGCAATTACTCTAAGCAGGAGAATTTGTCTCACTAGCAATGGGCTCACAGATGTTTCTTACCCCATGTTAAAGATCACTTCCACTTGCTCTATCCCGGCAGCCCCATCTACACCTCCCATTTCGTCATCGCCTGCCCACTGGGAGAAGTGGTGGGACCGCTCCCATGGTGGGAGGGTTTTGCGTAGGAGTTAAGTAGCCAGGCCCCGGGAGGCTGGGTATGACTGTCACAAAAGTCACTTCCTAGCTGTGTGACTTTGAGATACTAACTTATCCTCTCTGAGCCTCAGTTTCCCCCTCTATAAAATAAGGATATCATCGTGCCTGTTTCCTAGGACTGCAAAAGTTGAATAAAATTATGCATGAGGCGGGGAGTGGTGGCTCACACCTGTAATCCTAGCACTCTGGGAGGCCAAGGTGGGTAGATTGCTCGAGGTCAGGAGTTCGAAACCAGCCTGAGCAAGAGCAAGACCCCGTCTCTACTATAAATAGAAAGAAATTAATTGGCCAACTAATATATACAGAAAAAAATGAGCTGGGCATGGTGGCATGTGCCTGTAGTCCCAGCTACTTGGGAGGCTGAGGCAGCAGGATCACTTGAGCCCAGGAGATTGAGGTTGCTGTGAGCTAGGCTGACACTATGGCACTCACTCTAGTCTGGGCAACAAAGCAAGACTCTGTGTCAATAAATAAATAAATAATAAAATCGTGCATGTACACACCTGGCATGCTGCAGCACAGAGAGCAAAATTATCATTTATCTTGTAAGTCAGAAAACCTCAAATCACCGTGATTTTGTTACTAAATCATTGCTCAAGTAGAGCTGAGTTCAAGGTCAGGTCCTTAGATGAGCTCAGTACAGAGAAGCTAAGCACAAGTTCACTTTTCTTCTCTGGCTTCAATATTCGTCGTCGGAGGCCTGGGCCAGTTGTGAGGCCGAGATGAGATGATTTGTGTTAAGTCCCTGGAATATTCTGGGAGCTGGACATGTGTCACCACATAAGGTTGACAGGGACCTTTTTTTTAAAAAAAAAAAATTAATACTTGACAAAAAGAAAACCCTGTCGTTATCTTTTTAAATGCATGCCACAGAGGTGCAGCTCGGCGCAAGAGAATCATTCCCAGCAGCTGGGCAGAGGAAGCCTCCTGATGTGGCTGAGAGACCGAGTCCAAACCTACTTCTGTCTGCTGGCCTGTGTGCCTGGGAGCGGGCTTTCTTCAGTGAAGTGGGGGCCTGGGCGGGGCTGACCGCTCGGGTCCTGGGCCCACACTTTGAGAACCGCTGCGCCAGGGCAATGCGTTGTAAACTGGGGGTGGCGAAATCAGCTAATGGGATGGCAGCCAGCGCTCACGAGCAGTGAGCTGATAGGCCAGGCACAGAGGCCCATGCTCGTGATCTCCGCACTTTGGGGGGCGAGGCAGGTGGATCGCTTGAGGCCAGGAGTTAAAGACCAGCCTGGGCAAGATAGCGAGATACTCTCAACCCCATCTCTATAAGAAATGAAAAAAATTAGCTGGTGTGCTGGTGGTGCCTGTAGTCCCAGCTACTCAGGAGGCTGAGACAGGAGGATCGCTTGAGCCCAGGAGTTCAAGGCTGCAGGGAGCTATGATGATGCCACTACACTCCAGCCTGGGCAACAGAGTGAGACTCTATCTATAAAAAAAAGAAATATATATAATATTAATTTGTGAAACTTTAATTTGATTAGATAATATATATAAATATGCACACACATATATATTCGTATGTAGTATATGGCAATGTATCTATTTCTGTGGGCTTTAAAAAAATGAGTCAGGCCGGGCGCGGTGGCTCAAGCCTGTAATCCTAGCACTCTGGGAGGCCGAGGCGGGCGGATTGCTGTGAGGTCAGGAGTTCGAAACCACCCTGAGCAAGAGCGAGACCCGTCCTCTAACTATAATAGAAAGAAATTAATTGGCCAACTAATATTATAAAAATTCACCGGGCATGGTGGCACATGCCTGTAGTCCTAGCTACTCGGGAGGCTGAGGCAGGAGGATTGCGGAGACCAGGAGTTTGAGGGTTGCTGTGAGCTAGGCTGATGCCACGGCACCTCACTCTAGCCTGGGCAACAAAAGCGAGACTCTGTCTCAAAAAACAAATAGTTTTTTTAAAATACCATGATCTAGGACACATGTAGATACACATACATCTATGTAAGTGAAACAAAACTTCCATTAAACATTTATCCTTGTGGCCCTTAATGCACACTAGTATTTCTCTCCCTTTCTTTACTGTTCTATTTTATTTCAATGTTTAAAACACATGATGGAAGTCCATGGGATGGATCTCATGCCCCCTGAGGGGTTTGAAAACCTGGCCCCTGAGGGTCCTCTGAGCCCCTTTCCCCTGAACATCCTCCTGGGAGGCTGACCGCACTGGGAACTGGGTTCTGCCACCAGGAGAAACTAAAGAAGACCACGGAAGAGGCAGACCAGCACGAGACCAAATGCCAGGAGATCAACAAGACCCTGGAGCAACTCAAGAACTTAGTGGAGCATCTGTTTAAGAAGATAAACTGTGACGCCACCAAGATCCTGGTGCAGTTAGGGGAGACGGGGAAAATCACTGACATCAACCTTCCTCAGTATTTTGGTGAGTCACGCTGGGGCCTGTTGGACTCTTGGGAGCCATTTCCAGAGCTTTCTGTGACCAGGCATGAGGACTTGTTCTTTTGGAGGTAGTGAGCCTGGTGGTGACATGTGCGGCACCGAGGCCCACCTGCCTGGGTGTGAATCCTGGTCCTACCTTTGCTAGCTGTGGGGCCTTGGGGAAGTTTCTGAACCTCTCTGTGCTTCAGTTTTTTCATCTAAAAAAACCTGGGTCTCTTTTGATGCTTTTGGTTAAAAAAAATAAGGTGTAAACCTAGAATCCACATCATAATATTAGTGGGAGGATTAACTAAAGGAATAGTTCTTACAGAAAAACTGTATGATCAGCTCAGTAGATGAAGAAGCATTTAATAAAATTCAGCATCCATTTATGATGTTTAAAAAACCCTTAACAAACTAGAACTAGAAGGAAACTTTCTCAACTTGATAAAGGGTGTCTACAAAAACAACAACAAAAAGGCTGCAGCAGCCATGTGCGGTGGCTCACGCCTGTAATCCGAGCACTTTGGGAGGCCAAGGCGGGAAGATTGCTTGAGCTCAGGAGTTCGAGACCTGCCTGAGCGAGAGTGAGACCCCGTCTCTACTATAAATAGAAAGAAATTAGCCAAACAACTAAAAATAGAAAAAATTAGCTGGACGCAGTGGCGCGTGCCTGTAGTTCCAGCTATTCAGGAGGCTGAGGCAGGAGGATCGCTTGAGCCCAGGAGTTTGAGGTTGCTGTGAGCTAGGCTGATGCCACGGCACTCTAGCCCGGGCAACACAGTAAGACTCTGTCTCAAAAAAAAAAAAGAAAGGAAGGAAGGAAGGAAGGAAGGAAGGAAGGAAGGAAGGAAGGAAGGAAGGCAGGCAGGCAGGCAGGCAGGCAGGCAGGCAGGCAGGCTGGCTCTGCAACTAACCTCCTACTTTATGGTGGGAAGCTGGACATTTTCCTCCTGAGATCAGGAATGAGGCAGGGATGTCTGCTGTTACCATGCTTATTTAACGGTGTAGTGGCGATCCTAGCTAATGCAATAAGGCAAGAAAAAGAAATAAAGGCACGCAGATTGGAAATGAAGAAATAAAGTGTTCAGAGCAGTGCCTGGCATGTAGACCATCACACACATTTCTAGGCATAGACCCTCAGCTCAGAGTGGAGAAGGAAGGGTACATCTACACAAATCATGACAGTTTGAAATGAAGGGCTTCTGTTGCTCTTAGAATTAAACCATCTGTATTTGGGAGGTTCCCAAAACACCCCACAATCCTCCTACCACATTGAGTGATTTGCTAGGAGGACCTCAGGACTCAGCATAGAGTTGTACTCATGGCTGTGATTTATCACCATGAAAGCAACATCAGAAAAGGGAAAGGGGGAACGAGGTGTTTTGCATAGACTACACGATAAACCACATCATTTGTGCAAACAGTTTCGGCATGGTGAGCCCCTTCTTATCAGTTGATGGTTGGTGGGAAACCTCCTGGAATCCAAGTTCCCAGATGCCAGCCAAGGGCCAACCTGGTCAGCGACCTTTCAGAGCAGACAGAGCCTCAGCCCTGCCACGTTAACTCTTTCTGCACACAGCCCGTCAGATTCTTTGTCACCTGGCCTCTGCTAACATTGCTCATCTCCTCTAGCCCTGCTGTCCCTTCCATGCTCACCACCTCTAACCACACTGTTCTCCTGTCTGTCTTCCAGTCTTCCTCGCTGCTGCCACATCTCATTCCCGCCTCAGGGCCTTTGCACAGGCTGTTCCTGGAAGACTTGTCTCATGCCCCAGTTAGTTCCTCCTTGTTCTCAGATCTCAGTTTCATCATCCTCTCTCCAGCATGGCCTCCTTCCTCCGCCCCATCTGAAGCTGTTTCTCATGGCTGTCCTATTATTTGTCTCTTTGCTGATAGCTTTCACTGCCTGAGTCCATGAGGTTCCTGAGATCCGATAGCAAGTTTCACATGCAAATATTCTTGTCCTGATGTTTAGATAGAATGGCAACAGTTGGATAGTCTGAGGTTTATTTTGTTTAGAAAATCCGAATCCAGTAGTTGTGGAATTCAGAAATGAACATCAGGGTGGTGAGGGATGCCTGTATTTATCTGCTCGCTGGTTTAACTTGCCTTTCTCTCCTTCCCTCCGTACACACCAAAGCTTCGTTGGGGCCAGGACAGTGTCTTTGTTGCTGTTATTGTCATAGTTTTTTTTTCTGGCATTGCATCCTTGGCATCTAGCACAATGCATGGCTAATCATTTGTGAATAGATGCATGCATGCATGCATGAATGAATGAGTCTGGTGACTGCTTGGGGCTATGGAAACACAGTGGGGAGGGCAGCTTTCCCGAAGAAGGCAGATCAGGGAAACATCCCTGCAGGCCCGACACCTGACTTAAGGCTTAAAATACCAATAGGGGTTACTGGGACAAGGGTGTAGGGAAGGGCATTCTAGGACTAAGGAACAGCATGAACAAAGACCTGGAGGCCTGAGACAGAGGGCTTTAGGGAAAAGCCAGTATAGTAGTGTAGGGCTGGGCTGTCCCCAGCTCCCAATTTTCAGTGTCACCCAGTGTTTCTCAACCTTCTTTTCACTGTCACCCTCCTCCCTCAAGAAGCCTTTCTATTCTTTTCCTGATTGTCCCTTCTCACAACATTTTAATCCCATGGATATAACATGTGTCTGTTTATGTCCTGTATATAAACCTGTGCTTGATATATTAGGAGTCAGATTTTTGCCTCCCAAGAGAACCACATTTCACCCTCTAAGGGAGACGTCTCCATGAGAATGTCCCGTGCAAAGCAGCCAGGAGAAAGCCCATGTCCTTGTTGGAGCCTGTGACCTTCCCCCGCACTCCTGTCCTTCCCATCCTGTCCAGTGGGGGGGCAGCACCCCCAGGAACTGGTCTCTGGGCAGCCATCCTGGTCCTGCCTCTTGTTTTCCAGCCATCATTGAAAAGAAGACCAACGACCTGCTGGTGTTAGAGTCCTACAGGCGGATCCTAGACACGGACAGGCCTGAGACCAATATCATGACGCCCTTCGTCAACCCCTTCTGGGGCGGCTCTGCCCTCCTCAAGCCCCCAGAATCCATCAAGGTCATCCCGCCCATTCTTGGGGCCGACCCTTTCAGTGACAGGTTGGATGATGGTGAGTTCTCTCTCTCTTTCCCCCACCCCCGGCCCCCCGCATTGGTACAGGTCTCTGGGTTGAGATTCCCAGAAAACTTGTGCCTTTAGGGCTGGGGATGCTGTGTCCAGGTGCCTGAGATGGCTGCAGTGTTGGGCCTCAGTTTCCCTGACTTGATGAGCCCTCATGGGCCTGTCATTTCCCTTGGGTGCCGTCTTGGCTGTGGCCACTTGACATCCTTCGCTTGCAGACTCTGTTTCCTATAGTGCAACAGTGACCTGGCCCCAGATCCCAGAGTTTAGTTATCCTGTGTATTTTCTTAAAGATCATAACTGCTTTTTAATAATTTTAAAGGAACCTTAAGGCCGGGCGCGGTGGCTCATGCCTGTAATCCCAGCACTCTGGGAGGCTGAGTCAGGAGGATTGCTTGAGCTCAGGAGTTGGAGACCAGCCTGAAGAAGAGTGAGACCCCATCTCTACTAAAAATAGAAACATTAGCCGGGCATGGTGGCATTTGCCTGTAGTCCCAGCTACTTGGGAAGCTGAGGCAGGAGGATCACTTGCACCCAGTTTGGGGTTGCAGTGAGCTGTGATGATGCCACTGCAGCATTTCAGGGGTGCTCAGGATGGAGGGAGCAGACCCCCACCACACATGGGTTTGAAAGCTAAGTCAGATGTCACATACCTTAGCATGACTCCTTGGCCCTTTGGAGTTTCCTAAAAGGGCAGGGCTGGGGGTAGGGTGGGACACAGGTGCTGGGAAAGCTGTCCTCACAGGATCAGGAACTTGCAGATAACACCCTCACTTCTGTTCAAGGGAATGTTGGTAAACACTGTGTTCTCCTATAGCCCCCTAGCCCCTGTGGCCTGTAGGTGTGAATTAGAAGAGGTGCCACTTCTGGGTAGCTTAGGAAAAGGGGTCTCCTCTGGGTAGACATGACTTCACAGTCAAGTGGGGGCTAGATTTCAGCCCATCTATTCACCTCTAGGTGTCCTTGTGCAGTGCACACCCTAAACAACTGTACATGGGCCCTGTGTCCTTGATATTAAACCAAACATCCTTCACTTCCTTTTCTGGGAGAAAGGACTGCTACGCAGCGACATCAAAGCAGGCTCGGACATCCTGGCCTCGGGCAGCCAGGAATAAGGCAAAGAGACCCAGTCCCTGGGAAGGCAGCCCCGGGGCCAGGTCTGAGATCCCAAGTCCTCACACAGAGCTTGTCTTGGTGCAGTTGATTATCCGCTGGACCACAGCAGCCTCCGGCAGCTCGTGCTGGAAAATCTGCTCCTGAGAGAGGCCCGGAATAAGGACATGCGCTTGGAAAGTGTGCCGGAGAAGGCGGACGACAGCAGGACCAGGAAGAGGCTGACGATGTGAGGTGACAGGCCGCATTTGTACCATAACCGGAAAGAATAAATGTTTTGTTCGCAAGCACAGCGCCTTTCCACGCTCGGTGCCAGGAGCCGTGGGGTGCGGAGCGCCTGCGGTGGCTGGGAGGAGGAGGGGGGCTCAACACGGGCACGGGGGACACAGATTGCGTGGGGGCCACACCGGTCACCCCTCACCAGGGGCCACCCGAGAAGCAGGGACGCGCAGGGAGCAGGGCCCACGTGGGAGCCAAGGTATTGCCCTGCGGCCCCAGAGCCACGTGGGGCGTGGCAGGCACGGGCAGGGGCGCCGCGGAGGCTCCGTGTGTGTCTCTGTGTCTGCACTTGTGTGTGTCTGTCTCCCGCGGGCGAGCGTGTCACCACGGAAGTGTCTCGCCCTGAACCACAGGCGGCCCTTGGCCAGCGTCCTGACTCAGCCTCCCCAGGAGCCCCAGGTATGGGGTTCGGGCCAGGCCGTCCCTGGAGCGAATGGAGGCTGCAGGCCATTGTGGGGTGGGGGTTATCTGGGGTCATTGGGGTGGGGGCGCTGGCTCCCCTGGGTCCCTGTCCCCCCAGGGCCCCAGTCCGCGGCAGCCAGGGGGCGAATTCATCAGCTGTATGAATTCAGCTGTATGAATTCAGCCTGGCCTGGGCGCCTCCCCGGGGTGGCGCTCCTGGTTCTGGCTCCTCTGCCCCCCCTTCCTCCCTCCCTCGTGCCCCAGCTCCACTCCCACCCCCAGTTCCGGCTCTTTTCCCCCAGCAAGGCGTTAACTTCGGCATGTCCTGGGTTCCTGGGATTCTCTTGCAAGCTCAGCGCCCCCATGCCTCCTCTCCGCTTCTTCTCGGGTTTCCTTGGGGGCTCCCCCCTCCCACCTGCCAGCATGGTCGGGAGGGGGCTGACCGCAGCCCCAGAGTGAGGGCGAGCAAGTGACCCAGGCCTGCCCACAGAGTGCTGCCCCTCCCAGTCCCCAGAGATTGGCTGGTGTGGCTCAGGTCCCGGAGAGACCACGGGAGCTCCTGTTCTGATGCTTGTGTGGAGATGGAGGGGGGTGCCCTCTTTGCACTAGGACCTCTGAGGGGACAGAAGGCAGCCGGGAGCTGTTGTAGCCTTTTTGCCGTGGCGGAGAGCAGAGCAACATGACCGAAAGCAGGTCAGCTTCTGACCGCAGTGTTTGACCTGGATACAGCCGTGCCTGAAGCCCTTGGACTTCTTAGTTTTGTGAACCCATTTGTTTCCTAAGTTGGGATTCTCACATAGACCTGAATATAGACCTGAATGCTTCAGCTATGACTTTGGTTACTCAAAATCAAGGGTCCACTCATCCCCCCAGGCCTGGACCCCAGAGAGGGTCAGAAATCAGTACCCCTCCCACAATTTGCCAGGAGAGGAGTACAGGCAGCTTCTGCTTTATCTGAAACTAGAAATCAACCTCTTGCGATTAGCAGATGTGATTTTTGTCAGATGAGCCACATCTTAGCGTGTGTGTGAGGCCACCTCCTTTCATCGTCATGGGGCCCAGGTTTACATACGTATGGGAGAAACATCCTGATGGTGTCCCAAAGGAAAGGGTGTCATGGAAGCTAGACCTACACACGCTTGAGCCCTCTGGAAGGGAGGGCTGTGTTCATCCAGGTAACATTCCATTAAAATGTGGCCCGTGAGAGAAACAGTGCTGAGTGGCTGCAGAGGTCTATATTAAATAAAGAGTCACTAAGATTCAATAATAATGATGACAGCAGGGTCATCACTGGCTTATATGCCGCCTTTGCTTTTCTTACTCAAGGTGCTTGTATCTGCCAGAGGAGCACCGTGACCATTTACACGACCTCCTGTTTATTTGAACTTGGGCTCGGGTGGATTTCCATCTGCAGTACGTGTGGCCACATGGCATCTGTAAGCCACCCCAGCTGCAAAGAACAAGGAGGTGGATAAATGGGTGCAGCTGCGTGGCTAACAGGCAGGGCTGGGGCAGAGAGAGAGGAGGGCAGAGCCCACCCTGCAAAGATGAGCCCAGGCGGGGCGGCCAGCCCCTTCTAGTCCTTCTCTTCTCCGTGCGTGATGATATGCACCAGGTTCTTGTAGTCCAAGTTGCCAGTCACGTCAGGGGGGAAGGCGTTGAACATCTGGTCGACCTGCAATCAACCAGCAGGGCGTGCTGGGGACGAGGGGAGGGGGAATGGGAGGGCGGGGCCGAGTGGAGAGGCAGCTGGGGCATGGGGTGTGGGGATGGCCACTCAGAGCCCCCTCTAGGGAAGGACTTGGTGACCAGCTGCTGCAGAGAGACCCCTCTCCCAAGGTCATGCCCTTCCAGGGGCAGCCATAGCCAGGGGTGTACGGGCCTGGCCACCTCGCCCAACTTGGGGCTTCTCAGAAGGGCTCTGCCGGCCCCGGCTCCCTGGGGCGTCGGCCATGGCTGTCTTGGAGCCTGCACTTGGCTCACGCGGCCCCGCACGCACTCCTTCCCTGCCCTTCCTTCCCAAGGCACGGACGCCGAGGGCCCTCCCAGGTAAACGCCTTTCAGGGATGTTCTGGAAACCCAGCCTTCGTCCAGGGGAAAGCGGGCATGGAGAACTCGAGTGTTCCGAGCACAGTCTATGTAAGGGACGAAGACGGGCCTGTGGGCTGTGGCTAAATGGAGACACGGGGCCCATCTTCAGAGGTGGCAGCTGCTTGTGGCCACATGCGCAGGGAGGTCAGAAATCTAGATTCTTTTTTTTATACGCAGTTAAAAAATGCATTGGCTGTTACTAGTTAACACTTATATTGCCCTCACACGTGTCAGCACTTTAACACAGATTAACTCGTTGAATCCTCACAATATACTATCACGCAGTTCTATTATTATCCCCGCTTTACAGATGAGGAAATTGAGGCACAGAGAGGTTAAGGAGCTTGTCCAAAGTCACACAGCTGGGGGAAGGTGGAGGCAGCTCTTTTAACTGCTTGAGTTTTGGGAAGGAGTAAATCTAAATACAATTTTTGGTAAAATGTGGAACTTGGAAACGGGCCCAAGAGGCTACACAGGGACTATTTTAAATAAACTCATTAAGGTTCACTAGTAAGGCCGGCAGGACTATTGCTTACTCATGTAGAACCTTGGCAAATTAGCAAAAGTGCCCCTTCTTCCAGACACATTACTGCCCCTGCCAGAAAAATTTCATATATACTGATTTTTAAAAAAAATTATAACAAGACACTTTGCTGCCACCTGCTGGAAAAACTATTGCAAAACTAAATATACAGTCTGTGATGAATTTTATGAGACTGGCATCCCAGAGGGTTGTGCAGTGCACAACTTACACGACTGTATGTGGCAGACCCTCATGCCATAGTAAACTAATTCTCTAACCAGGTCTCTATGCATTGTGAGGAAGGCAGAACCTGGAGTCAGACAGACCTGGGTTTGAATCCAGGCTCTGGCATTTAGCACTGGTGTTGATATTTTTGGCAAGTGACTTTACTTCCCTGCGCCTCAGTTTCCCTATCTGAATAAAAGGACAATAATATTAGTCCTTACCTCTGAGAGTGATTGAAAGAATGCAATGAGCAAGTGTTCAGTAAATGATAGCTAGTTATCTCGCTGGGGGATCAGGGGTGATTTAGGCAAGAGAGGGAGGCGGAGGCCCCTGAGGGTGAGCCCAGGAACTGGGGTGCAGGGAGTGGACAAAGGACCCCATTACCTCATCCTTGGAAAACCTGTCCGCCTGGGTGGTCAGCATCTCCCGGACACTGCAGAGAGAGAGCAGGCGTCGGTATCCAGTGTGTGTGTGTGTGGGGGGAGGCAGGAACCCCCCTCCCCCCAAACCCCACTCACTAATCAGCCTTCAGCACCCCCTTGCCTTCGGGGTCAAACACTTTGAACGCGTTGAGAATGGTCTCCTCGGGGTCTGCCCCTGAAACAGAAAACAGAGCTGACGTGTGCTGTGGGTGGCTGGGAACTCAGGGCACCCCAGTGGCAGAGCCCAGGTCCCCCCAGAGGGGAAGGGGCCAGCGCAAGGCTGCTTTGCTTGGAGGAAAGAGCACTGGGTCTCCGTACGTTGAAAGAGAAGGCTGAGGACCTGGTTATTTCTGAGCAAACCAAAAGTCAAACATGATCTAGAGTCAGAAAGACTAGGGTCTGAATCCTGACCCCGGCACTCCCTGGCTGTGTGGCCTCAGACCAGTGACTTTCTGTCTCTGAGTCTCAGTTCCCCATCTGTATACTGGGGATAAGAATAGAACCTGCCTCCTAGGTGCTGTTAAATGAGGGCATGCATATAGAGTGCTGAGGGTAAGCCTTGGAGTAATGTTAGTTGCTGTTTTTAGGGTTGGTTTGTTGTTTTTAAGACAGGGTCTTGCTCTGTTGCCTGGGCTAGGGTGCAGTGGCATTATCATAGCTCACTGCAACTCAGACTCCTGGCCTCAACCGATCCTTCCATCTTGGACTCCCAAAGTGCTAGAATTACAGATGTGAGCCACCATGCCCTGCCCTGTTTATATTCTTTTTTTCCAAGGGTACTTTGTCTCCTTGAAAGCGATCCATCTTCGGCCACCCCCAGTCTGTTCTCTTAGTGCCTTAATTCACGCCCAAAGGTGAAGACACACAGATACACACACACACACACACACACACGCTTACCCTTAAGTTTCTCCCCAAACATGGTCAGGAACACAGTGAAGTTAATAGGACCTGGAGCTTCCTTGAGCATATCGTCAATTTCTTCATTTTTCACGTTCACACGCCCTAGGGCAGGAAACACACACTCAGGGACTCTGAGCTGGGAGAGAAACAGCTATTAGCACACTGGCATTCCCTGGAATTCCACTTCAAGGGATCTAGCGTAGGAACAGTCAGAGATAGGGTGGATAGAGTCAGCGATCCCTGTGAGATGTTCTCACCAGCGGTATGCATAATAACCAGGTGACTGGAAGCGACCCAAACATCTGACGTGCAGAGACGATAGCTATTTTTAAAATAGTGTCTTCAGAACCTGGAACGTTTTATACAGATACGTTAATGTTTTACTCCAACGGGAAACACTCATATCGTAAACTAGCCCTTCTCAGTTGGAGGCGGGAGAGACAGATCAAGCATCTCCCGAAGAAAAATTTTCAAGTAATACCTGCTGTAACCCACAGCCTTGGAGATTCTGGCATACCTGCTCAGTCCTACCACAAGCCACCCACTTTTGTGCAAATTACAAAAAGGTACCTCTTATTAAGACACTTTGTTTTTATACAAAGCGACAGTAGCTACAAATGTGAGTGGTGTTGTGCCCTGTAGAATTGTGCAGTGCACAACCTGCACAGCTGTGTATGGTGGCCCTGGGTTCTGAGGATGGGAGTTGGTAGTGGTGTTGGGTGGCAGATTGGACATGTTTATCTTGAAAAAGCTCCATGTACTCATGCTCACACTGTCGAGATGATACATTTTAAATTGTATCAAATTCAAAGTAGAATGATTCTAATTATTTAAAAAAACAAAACCAAATGGTTGTGCCTAGAAAGACTAAGAGGGAAGAATCTGCAATGTTAACAGAGGAACGTGACCTTGTGGGTAATGTTTTGCCCTTTATACTTTCCCGAATTTTCTAAATTTGCTATTGAGAGCTGGCATCGCCTTCAAAATCATACCGAAAAAAGGTGATTCAAGAGAAAAATAAAAGATATGGGAAGACACTCAAAGACTAAACATTTCTTTCCCATCCTCTAAAATTCCTGTTACAGGCCAGTTATGGTTGAGCTGTTTCTTTGGAAAATGAGACTTTCTTGACCCTTTGGGATGGTCCCACCTCCTGCGTCTCGCGGGCGGGGGTAAGGAAACCCTCGCGCAGGGTGACGGGGGCTCAAAGGGGCGACGTACCGAGAGCAGCGAAGGTGTCTCTCAGGTCGTTCTTGTCGATGAAGCCGTCTCTGTTCTGGTCCATGATGGTGAAGGCCTGTGGGAGGAGGTGTCTGCGGGTCAGCGCGGGAGGAACTGGGCGCAGGTGCCCTAGTGTTTGGGCCAAGGACCAGGAGACATGACATTCTGATCTTCAAGGGGCAGCCATCATAGGGCATCAGATCAAGAGTCAACAATTGAAAAGAGCCCTGGCCGGGCGCGGTGGCTCACGCCTGTAATCCTAGCACTCTGGGAGGCCGAGGATGGGTAGGATTGACCGAGGTCAGGAGTTTGAAACCAGCTCTGAGCAAGAGCGAGACCTCGTCTCTACTATAAATAGAAAGAAATTAATTGGCCAACTAAATATATATAGGAAAAAATTAGCCGGCACGGTGCGCATGCCTGTAGTCCCAGCTACTCGGAGGCTGAGGCAGGAGGTATTGCCTGAGCCCAGGAGTTGAGCTTGCTGTGAGCTAGGCTACGACGCCATGACCTCATCTAGCCTGGGCAACAAAGAGAGACTCTGTCTCAAAAAAAAAAAAAGAAAAGAGCCCGTAGTTCCTCCAAACGACAGGCGTAGTGTTACTATGTGTACCCAAGAGCACTGGAAACATACGTTCACATAAAACCCACACGCGGCCGTCTGTGGAGTGTTATTCACAATAACCCCAGCTGGAAACAGCCACAGACCCATCGACTCCGGAATGACAAAGAGAACGTGGCTTGTCCGCACAATGGAATATTATCCAGCAATACAAAGGAAGGAAATTCGACACATGCCACCACGTAGATGGACCTTGAAACGTGACATTCAGCAAAAGAAGCCAGACACACAAGGCCATGTATCGTATGATTCCATTTCCATTTGTATGAAATGTCCAGAAAAGGCAAATCTATAGAGACAACAAGGAGGATCAGTGGTTGCCAGGGGAGGGGGGAGGGGAAAGAGGCAGTAACTGCCAATGGGTGTGAGGTCTTTTTCTTTTTTTCCTTCTGTCACCTTTAGAGGTGACAGAAATGTTCTGAAATTAGATAGTGGTGATGGTTATAAAATTTTGTGACTATACTAAAAACCGCTGAATTGTACACTTTAAAAAAGTGAATTTTAGTGTATGTGAATTCTATCTCTATAAAGCTGGGGTGTTTTTTTTTTTAAGTTAAGAACTGGAGTCTCATCTGGCCTCTTCACTCCCAAGCCTGGGCTGTCTGTAAAATGGGGCCAGTGATCTTTCCCCACTCCCAGGGACGCTCCCAGCGCTTTATAGATGCCGAGTATTTTACAAACGAGGTATCAGGGCTACATTCTTCTGCCATCTTTGCTGCGGCTGGTTCCTGGAAGTCTTTGCACTGCCACCCACACCCCGGCAGCGGATCTCATTCCAGAGATTGGGGCAGAGTGAGGAGAAGAGGTGGGTGTAGCTTTCTCCCTGGAAAGTGACTATTTCAAGTTCAGATAGGACGCTTGTCCCAGGAATTTCTCTCTCCCTGGTGGCCTAGGAGATGTAGCATCCCGGCAATCTGAATGCTAAGGGGGACAAAAGGTGCAAGTGTCCACGTTCTGTTCGGAGCCCCCAAGTGGTTTCCCCTTTGATAGCGAACACACTGGCGTCTTTGGCATAGCTGGGGCACACTTTTCCTCTGGACGGCCGAGTGCGAGTGCGGATGACTCAGTGGGCGCCTGCAGGACTGCCGGAAAATTAATTCAGAATCTGCCCTTTCAAGTCCATGGGCAGTGGCTTAATTTTGCCTAATCGGTTCTTAGGTTTGCTTAACAATAAGGCACATTCCCATCGAATGTGACGGGTTTCAACTCGGCTGGTGTTCAATAAAAGAAAACTATAAAATTTGAAATCCAGAAGATGCTGTCTTACACCTCTAGATTGCAAAAAAAAAAAAAAAACAACCCAATTATTTTAACTATTAATAATACTCAATGTTGATGAAAATGTAGGAAAAAGATACTCTCTTCTTGGGGCTAATGGGAGGAGGAATTAGTCCAGTAATTCTAGAGGGCAATTTGGACCAGCAGTTTTGCTTGGTTTTAGTTCTTTTTGTTTGTTTTTTTAAGTTCCTGTGACCCAGTGGGTCTGCTTTTAGGAAGCTACCATGAGGAAATAACCAGAGATATGAGCAAAGTTGTGTTATTTATAACAGTAAAATATTAGTAACAAATGTAACATCTAACCACAGGAAATGGTTTAAATAAATGATAGAAATTTTGATGCTGAATTTCTTAAAAGAGAAAATAATGCAGGTACTAATCAGCGGACACAGAAGACTGTAACTTTGCTTAATTAAGTGTATAAATAGATAACAAAAATAACTTGAAGGGTATATACTAAAATGTGAACCGATTCTCTCTTGGGAGTAGAACTGTAGGTAGTTTTTATTTTCTTCTTTGCACTTTTCTAGAAATGTTTCCTACATTTTCAACAAGGAGTATGTTTTACTTTGATAATCAGCCAAAGTAATTAAAAAATAATTTCCTTAAAAGGTTCACACATACATTCAGACTGAATTAGGGATTGCTGGGAGGATAAAGACATCTGATCAGAAGGCCCCTGCTGGGAGTCTGAACAAAGGAAAGGTTCCCTCTGCCAGGCGAGATGTCCCTGCCCCTGCAGGCGGGGGACCGAGCAGCGGCACCCACCTCCTTAAATTCCTGGATTTGGGTCTGTTCAAACATGGAGAACACGTTGGAGTTGGCGGTGCCCTCAGCTCTCTTCTTAGCTTTCTTAGGTGCCTGGGGAGGAAGGAGCATTGATTAAAAGAGTTGGAGGCTAGGAATTAGAAAACTAGGTCAGGCCCCTCTCTGGGTGGGTTAGTCCATCTTGCAGGGGCTCAGAGGCTCATCTGTGAAATGGGTGATGGTGCTCACATCACATCTCGAAATGATGAAGCCGGAGGGATAAAAAGGACACAACATAAAGTTCTTCCAGATCGCCCGGGTCCTGGTGAGTCACAGAGATCGTGGCTTTTGCAGCGGCTCCGTTGCAAATGACAAGGTGCATGTGCGTCTCTGGGGATGGAGGCCACACCTCCACATCAGCCCCCGGCAGGGTCCAGCCGCTTTTGTTCCAGGGCATTGCACAAAAAGCTTAGTAATGCACTGAAGGAGAATTGATTGGAGGCAAAGAAAAAGTCGGGCTCGCTAAGCCGTGATGCATGCCAAGACAAGAGGACGGTTTTTCAGGATGTTAAAATCCAACTGCTCCCCCCATCCCACAACTTTCCCTTGATCCTAATGGCAGTGCAATCTCCTCTCTAAATGTCCTGTCTTTGTGCCACGTCAACAGAGCAGAACAGGGTGAGGTACCCTTTCTCCCCAAGCCCACTTCTCTCTGAGCTTAAATAACAGCAATTGCTTGAGCACTGTACAGAAGTTATTATTTCATTTAATTCTTGTAACTGCTCTGTCCCATAAATGCTATTATTATCATCCCCATTTTATCAGCGGGGGTTGGGGGTGGGGTGGGGTGGCAACCGAGGCTCAGAGAGGTTGGGTCCCTTGCCCAAGGTCTCACAGCCACAAAAAGGCAGAGCTGGAGTTGAACTTGGGCATTTTGACTCCAAAGTCTGTGCCCTAACCTCCCTCCTGAGCTGACCCTGGTTTGGGGGCTGCCTGCTTTGGGAGTTGGGGGACACCTAACCAAACATTACAGGAAGAAAGGTTTTGAAATTTGCAAGTTCAAAAGGTGAAAACAAAAAGATTCTTTTTCCCAGCTGCCTGAACTAGAGAAAAGAATTACAATTTGATCCTTAAAAGCGTTCAATCCCATTTTGCAAGCCCCGGGAGTTATTGATTCCTCGAGAGGTCAGTAGACAAGCCATAAAAAAGCCAACTCTCTTATTTTGTTTTTGTGAGTCCCCGGGAGCTGCTGTTATTTGTGGCCTATCGGGGCATTGATTGGGGTTCCTCTGCGCACGCACAGCCAACGGTGCTTTCTCCGCGACGGGCGGGGGGCCTGGAAAGCCGCCTTTCCTCCCCACTCTGCGTTGGTCCTTTGCTTGTGGGTGGCTTCCCCTTGTCACCCACCCGACATCACCAACTCACAGAGCCCTTGCTACTCACCATGGTGGAAGAGACCCAGCACTGCTTCACGAGAAGAATTCAACACGCTGCCCAGCCCAGGAACAATAAATACTTCCTCCTCTCGGTTAAAAATAACCCCATGACCACTTTTGGCAGTAATAGGTGAGGTGGACGCCACCTAAGGCCCCCCTATCCCATGCCGTTCTTCTGAAGTAAGGGCCGCTCACTCGCCACCGGGTGACACGTGAGCCCCCAAAAGGCATTCAAGGTTAAAGAGACAGCGGCCGGGTCACGGTCACGGGGAGAGATACGGTGCACTTTCTGCAGGCTTGGGCTGGAGACATTTGTGCCTGTCAGTTTTGAGAAAGACAATGGCAGGGAGAGGAAACGGTGAAAATTCTCTACTCCTCTGGCCTGGGTCCCACCGCAGGGCCTTTGCATCTGGGGGGGTGGGCCCTGCCTGGGACGCCTTTCCTATGGTCAGAGGCGTGGCTCTCTCTCCCCTCGCCTATTTGACACCCCTGTGCTCAAATGTCACCTGTGGGAGGCCTGCCCAGCCACTGTATTGAAAATAGCCTCTCACCCCTGCCTCCCATCTCCCTTTTTTGTTCTGTTTTTCTCTATGGCATTTGTCACTTCCTAACACATCATGCAACATACTTGTTTATTTTGTTTGGTGTCAGGGGACAGTCCGCTTGAGAGGGCAGTGTCCTCTTTAGTTTTCCTCACTGCCACCTCCCCAGCACCTATAGCAGCAGCAGCTCACCTATAAATATTCGCTGAATGAGTAAAGAAATGACAACTTTGATTCACTGAGCACTTGCTACGTGCCAGGCACTGTGTCCTTGGGCTCACGTTCACATTTAATTTTCCAACCACCCTATGGGGTAGGGACCACATTCTCATCTGTGCCCCCATTTTGCAGATGAGAAAATGAAAGCTCAGAGAGGTGATGTGAGCCCCCGAGGGTCACACAGTGGTGAAGTCGGGGGTGGCCCCATCTTGAGGCCCTCTGCGTGCAGTCCAGACCCTTAAAGGGCCTTGCAAACAGCAGCTCACTCTCCAAGTACAAGGCACTCTTATTCAATACTCCTTCCCAGTATGGTTTTGGGAAAACCAAAGACAGCGTTGGGATTCAGGGAGCAAAAACTCAGCGCTTGGAATCGTCGTGGAAGGAGAATATCCCCTCGCCCCTCCCTGCTGGTGGGGACACTAGGCTGATGCTGGAACAGTGTTCATTCCCCTTCCTGCAGCCCTGCTGGATGCTGGGTGCTGCCCTTGCTTGGGGGAGACTGCCGCAAAGCGACAAACTCCCTGCCCTCCTAGAGCTCACATGCAAGCGGAAGATGGATAAAAAGAAAGTAAATAAATGCATAATCCAGATAATTGCAGGTGGTAACAAACATGACATGGGCATGAGAAGTGGTGGACTGTGTCAGCTGCCTCAGATGGGCTCGGGGTGGGTCCCTCTGAGCAGAAACTGCAGAGGGGCTCCTGGCAGCGGGGACCACAAAAGCCTCAAAGGAAGATGAATTTGGAGTCTTTGAGGAACAGAAGGACCCATGGGGCTGGAGTTTTCTGGAACGTAAAAAAAGAAATAAGTTTTCTTATTAGGTTTTCTGGAGGGTGAAAGGAGGTGAGGGCCCGGTGAGCCCTCAGTGAATGGTAGCTATCTCTCACTTCCCTTCTCAGGTGGACAGAAAAGTCGCAGTTCGGGGGCACACAAACCAAGGGCTATTTATTGCTGTGACAAAAGAAGGAGTGGGCTTTTTTTTTTTTCCCCTTCTCTCCGGGTTCTAACCCACACATGGCTTAGAATTACCAAGGAGCCTCTTCTAACAGAATCTTTAATCACAAAAGATGTGTTTTTACGTGTGTGTGCCCACACCAGTGTACACACACACATGTGCGGGCACCACAGGCATGTGTGCACGTGCACACTCGTGCACGCACAGACTAAGACTAAAACACACCCATGCACGCACGCACACGCATGCATCGAGACACACATACACATGTGCACAAGTCAAGAGGAGCTTTTCTGTCCAAGATTCTCTGACACCAGAATAAATGCTTACCCAGCTAATAGGCACACCATGGATTTTCGTTAAAACGCCGTGGGAGCAGTCGGTAGCTATGAATGGCCAAGCGCAAAGGTTGCTGCGACCGCAGCAGATGAGGAGAAGGCGTGACCGGGGTTGGGGGCCCAGGTCAGGGCTCAGGATGGCTCAGGCCCCACAGAGGCAAGTGGGTGTGTGTTCCCCGAGGGGCCCCTGCACAGCCGGGCCTATGAAAGGGGCGCCAGGAGGAGAGTTCTGGCTGGTGGCGAGAGGGTTGGGGTGTCAAACAGGGCACTAACTCTCTCCGGGCCTCAGTTTCCTCATCTGGAAAATGGAGACCGTAACAGCGCACACTCCCATAAGGCTGTGGGGAGGACTGAGTGAGGCCGTCGCGGGGGATTCTGGGAACATGGCGGCCGGCACAGGGCACGGAGCCCGCGCGCCGCCTCGGCGCCCACAGGCTGTGGAGTAGGCCTTGCGCTCTGGTGGGAGACCCGGAGACCCACAGTCTCCTCCCCAGCCCTGTCAGTGGGCTGGGCGGCCCCTGGGGAGCCCCCAAGACCAAGGACGAGGCCCTCGGAGCGGCGAGTCCAGGGAAGACTTGGGGTCCGTTTCAGCGTCCACCTCAAGAGCGCGTGTGGAGGAGGCGAGTGGCCGGCGGGGGCTTCTCTGCCCTCGAGGCTGGGAGGCGAAGGCGTCTTGCCTGAGAACTGCAGGCCTACGGGCCCGAGACCCCTTCCTTTCTGCTGCCTGTAGGATTCCTGGAGCTAAGAAGTCTCCAGCAGCCAGACCTGAGTCCCATTGCACCAAAGAGAAAACTACGCACCTGAGGCTCTCAGAGGCCAGAGAGAAGCACACTGGGACGATCATTCAGAATAGCAACTTCTAGAACAACCAGAAAGCAAACCAAGGGTATTTGCTTCCCATTGCTGCTGTAAAAATATTACCGTAAGTTTGGTGGCTTAAAACCGCACAAATTTCTTATCCTGCAGTTCTGGAGGTCAGACATAGAAAACAGGTGGGCAGGATCGTGTTCCCCCTGGGAGGGTCTAGGGGAGGATCTCTTCCCTGCCTTTGCAGCTTCTAGAGGTGCCCACGTTCCTGGGTTCGTGGTCCACATTACTCTGACCTCTGGATCCAACCTCTCTGACCAGCTGCTGCTTCTCCATCTTTTAAGGACCTCTGGTTAATCAGGAGAGTCCCAAGCTCCCTAATTTAATGTCATCTTCAAAATTCCTTTTGTCGCATAAGTCACATATTCCTGGACTCCAGGGGTTAGGACGTGGGCATCTTTGGTGCCGAGTCAACAGAGCAACAGCTGAGTAATAATCAATGCAACAATAAAACTTCTCTGTATTAGAATTCATGGAACTATCCACCAAAAAAAAAAAAGAAGAAGAAGAAGAAAGAAAAAAGGTCAGTTTTATTGAACAGCAATTAAAAAAATTACTCATTGGCAATGTTGTGAGCAATCCCTCTATATATAGACTGCTTTTAAGCAAGAATGATTTTGACCCCCAATTCAAATTAATTTAATTTTTGACCCCCAATTCAATTCAATTAATTAATTCAAGTATAGGGCCTTGTGTACATCCGTAAAGCTTCATTCAGAGGAAGGGGAGATGCACAGGTGTTAAGCTTCAATTTGAGGAACGTGGGAATTTATGTTCAACTGTAATGTGTACAACAATCTTTAATTTTGAAAGTAGAGCAGTGTATTAATTTCATTATTATTTTAAAGCACAGGTGTTGGTTTACTCCATAAAACAAAACAAAACAAAAAGAATGCCTAAGGGAAATTCACGTAAAACCCCAAAATGACTTTCTGGAGCTTTAAGACCTGATTTCAGAACTAAAAATTAAGCAGATGACCTGCAGAAAATGTTAGTTCTTGTTGCAAGTCGAATCGTGGCCTAGAAGATGGTATCTCGGGAATATATTGAAGCAAAATAAGGAAGGAATGCAAATAACAAACGTTCCAGAAACACAAACCTCAAGTAAGCAAGTAACACAAGGAAATGAGGTTCAGCCAAGAAGACAACAGAAACTGTAGATTGAAAGGATTCCCGACCTCCAAGCTGGAAGGATGGGGAAAAAAACATAAACCAAGGTATATCCTGGCAAAATTCACAAACTCCAAGGTTTAAGAAAAAGTTTGACATTCTTCTGGACAGAGAGAACTTAACTCTAGTGGAAAAATTCAGACGGGCTTCTCAGAGCCAATGTCTCCTTCTGAACTTGGATCTGACTCTTTTGCTTTTACTGGGTGCATATGTCGCTTGGAATGAAGGGATGCAGGTAAGGAAACTTGGGGTTCCTATAAACCTCTGATCCCTGCTTTGCTGATCATAGCTGGTGACATTTTTTAAAGGAAACATTGATTTTTAATTTCAAAACGGTATATGCACAAACAGGCAAAACAAATCTGTGTTGTGAGAGGCCGGGATGGAGGGAGGGAGTGACTGGGCAAGGACAGTAGGGGTGGGGTTGCCAGGTTTAGCAAAACACATCAAAAACAGCAAACATCCGGTTAAAGCAGAATTTGAGATAAATAATTAGGGGATCTTTAAGGGAGCCGGAATGTTCTGTATTTTGAACTGGGTGCTGGTTCACAGCTGTGTTACGTTTGTGAAGATGTGTGCCCTTGTGTGTGTGTGCTACAGGTTCAGAAAACATCAAATTAATACTATGTAAACGAGCACATTCTTATTATAAAACAGTTCAAAATGTTACAGATAAAGGCTCCCTTTCTAGCATTATAATCAAATCCTCCCCATAGGGAACCAGTGTGTGCAGTTTGGTGTGAAGTCTTGCAGACTATGTTTTAATTTAATTTAATTTAATTTCTTTGCTTTTGAAATTTGTTATACCTGTAGCAAAGTGCACACACCTCTTAAGCATCCAGCCCCCTGAGCTTTTACATATGCATGTGGACCGTGTGACCACCACTGAGCTCAGGACACGGAACATTCCAGGCTTTTTGCAGGCAACCCTCCCCAAAGTAACCACCTGTTCACCTTCAGCCCCATGGATTCATTTTGCCATTCCAGAACTTCTTCAAATGCCTTCCAGACTTTTTTTAAAATAAATTTTTTAGTTTAGAATTTATAGAAATGCGGCCAAGTTCTTCCTTCACCCTGGCTCAGCTTCCCCCAGTGTTAGCGCCTTGCGTGACCATGACACATGGGTCACAATGAGGAAACTGACATTGGTACATTACTATTGACTAAACTCCAGGCTTGACTCGGATTTCACTGGTTTGTGTCCACTATTGTCCTTTTTGTGTTCCAGGATCTAATTTAGGATATCACATTGCACTCAGCCTTCCAGACTTCCTCTCTCCCTCTCTCCCCTCCCTCTCCCCCCTCCCTCTCCCTCTCTCTCTCACACACACACACACATGCACACTGGCCGCCTGGGTTTTTACACTGCACTGTGGCCTTGGAGACCTTCCTTGAAGTCCCCAGCCCCCACCTCCGTGACAGTGGCCCCGTGTGGTGTCCGCTCTGTGGTCAAGCCGGGCTGTGTGGCTGGCGTGCTTAATGTTCTGGGCAGGTGAGCCCAGAGCAACAACAACAAAAAACCCAACAACCTTTTTTGGGAAAAAGTGAATATATTTTTTTAAAGGGTCCAAATAGTGACTCTGAAGCAATATCAGAGCGCTGTAGGATGCTATCATGCTAGCTGGACCATTTAGCACTGTTTTTATCTTTCATTCAATATGAGGCAATGAGACCAGCATCTCTTCAGTCTTTGCGGCTTTTAAAGGTTTTAATCCAGGCCTGGCTGGGGGCATAGTTTAATTCATTTCTTTTGCAGGGGCTTTTTCTGCTTTAGCTCCCAGAATTCAAGTCTAAGCCATCCGGTCCCACATTGGGGAAAAGGAAGCCCTTCTCTGTGTGGGTATTTTATAAAACTCATCAGCAAGTCACATGAGTATATATGTTAATATCAGTAGATGACAGAGGTCATCTAGGACTGATATTTGTGACAGAGTCTGGCACAGAAAAGTGCCACATGAAGTGTTCACTGCGATTTCTGGTGGAAGTAAAGCAGGACAATGGGTTAACCTGCCGTGGGGCATAATGCCCCTTTAAGGAGGGGATGAAGTCAGCCACTTCCTGATAGAACAAAGGCAGACCCGGCTCTGCCAGTCCAAAGCCAGAAGGCTGGTGGATGTTGTTACCAAGTGATAGCGACTATCTCCTCATGTCAGGGCCCCCGGGCGTCAGTGAGAGCCACCAAGCAGGGAAGGCAGCCTCTCCAGCACGTCAGACCTGGGTGGACCAGGCCTTGTGCCCACTGGAGATGAGTCAGGCACATTGATGGGGCGCCCACTGTGTACAGGGTACAAGCAACATCAGTGCTCTGTGTGTCAGTTTCCCTACCTGTGACATGAGAATATATAATAGTGGCCCTTACTGCAAAGAGTTATTGTGAAGTTTGAATGAGTTAATTGATACTTATAAAGTTCTAGAATATTGCTGGACATGATGATGTTCAGAAATGTCAGCTCTTATTCCAGACTGGGGCCCCCATGTCAGGGGAGACGGAGGTCAAAGAATAACATGTTCAATGCCAATACAAAGTTATTTTTTCTCTTGTCCCTCCCCCAAACCTTTTTCTATCAATGACTTCATGCTTCTCTTAGGTTCCCAGACTAAAATCCTCAGCCCTCTTGATTCTGCCCTGTTAGTGACAAAGTCTATTCTGCCTCTAAAATGTCTTACAAACATTTACCCCCGTCCTGCTCCAATTCTGGCCTTTGGTAGTCAGGCCCCATTGGTTTAGGGCCCCCCCTCTCTTGCCTTTCTGCCCCTGCCCTCCACCCACCTCAGCTCCAAATCCTTTCCCCGGGGCCCCACTCTCATGATGACCTGCACATGCTTCAGAACCCTCAGTGGCTCCCCACTACCTCATGAAGATGTCTCTCCTCCTTGGCCTGAGAGTTTTACCTGACAGTTTTACCACTTGACCCTGACCTACCAGAATAGTGCAATGATTTGAAAGCTGGGTTCCAGGTCAGCTCCTCCACTTCCTAGACTGTGGGGCCCTGGACACGTGACTTAGCCACCTTGAACCTCAGTTTTCACTTGATACATGGGGGAAACAATGATGCTCATCTTAGAAGAGTGCTATTAAAGTAAAACTGGGTAACTGTGACCCTCATGATAGCAGTGAACATGGATCGTGTGCATATTCCGTGCCAGGCCCTATCCAAGCACCGTCTACACGGTTGCTCACACGATGAGTACAAGTGGCCTTGCACAGTGCCCGCCACAGAGCACATGCACCACGAGAGAGCGTGTGCATGCGTGTGTGCATGTGGTTATTACTGGTCACCTTCCCAACCTCCTTTCCTATCCCAGCCTCCACCTCGCCCTCCAGGCCTGTCACAGAGAGCTCTTGCACAGATGCACTGAGCTGGCAGAGAACAAGCGCGCATGTATTGGGTCCTCCAGGGGATTTTTTCTTTGAAGTTAGGGTATACTTTATTTTTGTTTCCTTTATTTTTTATTTGTATGTATTCATGGGGTACAAGTGCAATTTTGCTGCAGTGATATTAACATGTTGCGTGGTAGTGAAGTTGGGGTCTTCAGTGCGTCCATCACTGGAGCCATGCATGTGGTACCCACCAAGCACCTCCCACCGTCCAGCTCCCCTGCTCTCAAGGGGACATTAAGGCTCATACCCGATCCTTAGGGGTGGGTAATAAGGACTGGGGAAGGCCAACCTGCCCACCACAGCCACCACCCAGCCACTGCACTGTGAGCTTGCCAAACAGGTTCCGAAAGTAATCACATCATCATCGTCTCACATACCTAGAGCTCCCAGTGTGCCAGGCACAGTGTAAGTGCTGTAGCCATCATCCTACTTAACTCTCACCACACTGTGAGGAAGGGACTAACATGAGGCACATTTTCCAGATGAAGAAA